AGTATCAATAATAAATATAGATCGTTTTTGGTAGATACAGGTGCAACAAGAACTATTACATGTTCAGAAATAGTACGACGCCATCTTAAATTATCGCCTGCAACAGTAAGGCTTAGAACAGCAACTGGTGAGCTAATTAATACATATGCCTTGGCTAATATCTCAGTATCCATTAGCCATACTACAACTAAATACAGAGTATTAATTGCAGAGATCTCCGACGATTTCATATTAGGGATGGATTTACTAAGAAAAGTTGTATTGTATTTTAAAAATGGGGATTTCGAGATCAGTGGCGAAGAGTTGCCGTTTCATGAAGACAAAGAAGATGTTATCAGCTTACTAACTACTTGTGACGTAACAATACCCGGTAAGTTTAAAGATGGTCGAAGATGTGAACAATGCCGAGTTACTAACGGCAAAAGCTTTGGTGGGATTTTAAGGTGTCGTTCCTGTAAGAGTTGTGCATTTAAAGGGAACTGCTATTAAGTTAAGTAAAAGAACTTTGATCGGATAGTGTGTTCCCGTGGCTTCGATTTGTTCTATGAAAAATAAAAAAAAATCATGGAAATCTTTTTTTTTTTTTTTTACATCCTTTATTTATTGAAATCTGTTTCTACAAATAAAAAAAAAAAAACAATAATCAATATGTTTATCAAGTAATTAACATAGGGGAGATCAGTCCAGTGACAGAAATCCTTAAGATAAATTTCTAATATATATAAATATTTGAAATATAAATAACAATTTACAAAGACATTTTACTAACATATTAAAAAAAAAATAGCAATATTTAAAATTAAAACAACACACATGGAAACAACATACATGGAAATCTAAGTATCGAAAAGAGCTTGTTTCGGTGATGATTTAAACGTGCCCAGATCTTGATGATGAACGAACTAAAAAAGTGAAATCTATGCTGATAGAATGTCAAGATGTTTTTGCCATTAATAAGAAGGATAAGGGAAAAACAAGCATAGTAACGCATAAAATTAATACCGGAGACGCTTAGCCAATCAGACAACAACCTAGACGACTTCCATTTGCGAAAAGAGAGGAAGCCGAAGATATCAAAGATATGAATAAACAAAGATAATTATCCTTTGCCCAGAATAGACGATACATTGGATACTCTCTCTAGTTCTCGTTGGTTCTTCACACTCGATCTAAAAAGTGGATATTGGCAAGTAGGAATAGAACCAGCTGATCGGGAAAAAGCCGGATTCTCGATAGGATCAGGGCTTTGGCAGTTCACGGTTACGTCCTTTGGTTTTTGTAATGCCCCTGCCACATTTGAAAGATTAATGGAGTCAGTTTTAAAAGATCCCTTGATGAACATGTCAACAATCTGACAGAAATCTTTCAACGATTGCGGGCAGCAATTTTAAGTTAAGTACGAAGAAATGTCACATGTTTCGACGAGAAGTGAAGTACTTGGGATATATTGTAACAACTGATCCTGAAAAACTTGCAGTAATTAAGGATAGGCCACTATCAAGAGATAAACACGAAATTAAAAGTTTTCTTGGTCTATGTACATATTACCGACGTTTTGTCAAAGGATTTGCCAACATTTCCAAGCCATTAACAAAGTTGACAGAAGAAGGCAAGGAATATACATGGAAGGAAGAGTGTCAAAAAGCTTTCGAACAATTACAAATGGCACCGATTTTAAGCTACCCTAGACACGCAGGAAAATTTCTGTTGGACACCGATGCCAGCAACAGTGCAATGAAAGCTGTTCTCTCCCAAATTCAAGATGAGCAGGAGAAAGTCATCACTTACTTTAGCAAAGTCTTGCCGAAACCAGAAAGAAACTATTGCGTTACCAGGAGAGAATTGCTAGGCGTAGTGAAGACTTGCGAGCATTTCCATAAATACTTGTATGGCAGAAAGTTTTTTCTTTCCACGGATATAGCCTCTAAAATGATTCCTACAATTCCGCCAAAGGGACAGATGGCAAAATGGTTAAAACGATTACAAGAATATGATTACGAGATCGAACACAGGGCTGAAAGAGTTCACTTAAATGAGGATGCTCTTTCGAGAAGGTGGTGCAGTGAAAATTGTAATCACTTTCTTAAATTAGAAGAACTACTTTGCTCCGTGAGGTGATCCAGCGTTATTAATGATGAATGGTAGCCTCAACAGCTACAAGACGCCCAAGCAGATGATCCACGTATAAAAAGAGTATTGGATTGGATGCACCGAAGTGAGAGATCTACTTGGCAAGACAGTGCATGTAGTCCAGAAGTCAAGTCTTACTGGAGCCAATGGAATTGCCTAGTGCTAAGAGATGATCTGTACAGAACCTTTGAGAACGATGATCGTACAGAATCTCTTCCGAAAAACTGGCGTACGAATTACTATGTGTTGCATTAATTCTAAGAGATCGTTTCCTTCAAAAACACTAGACTGTTATTTCTTTCTGAGGGGTTCCTGCAAAGCTGGAGAGTCCTGTAGATTCCGCCATCCTGAGCCTACATATAGAGTTACTGATCGGGACGCTCAGATCTAAGAGGGGAGCAGTGTACCGAACTTACTTATTTCGACGTAGCCCATACAACGGTTACATCTCGAGACGACGATGATCTGTGAATAGAGGTGGACTATTCCAAAATATTCTAGTACATAATAACTTGTATATATAAGTAGCGCTGATATTAGCTAAGTTAGTTGATAAGATATAATCGTGCTGTAAAATAAATAAATATATTTATATAAATTAGAACCGTTCGTTTTATTTAAAAATGGTACAATACAATAGTATTAGTTTTACTAAGAATTTCTGTAAACTAAATAGTAAAGAATAAGAAATACCCTTGAATATAAAAACAAGGGTATTTAATCAGTGTTCACACATTTTCACTACTTGTTTACACATGGATGTTTACTAAAGATGACATAGAAAAGAGAGAGAAAACACACTTATTTATTTGGCGTATGACAGAAATTCAGTAAACTATAAAGCTATAAACTGCAAACTCATGCAAATGAAGATAGAAGGTGTAAAAAAGTATTACCCATTAAAGTGATCGTAATCCTAAAATACCGCTACGTTAAAGTGAAGGAGAACTTTCCAGGCTTCGTTTTTTTGTAGAATGAAACTTCAAATTCAAGCGCTGGAAAAATTTGCAATATCTCGCCTTTAATTGCACGCAAATATTTTTTTTAACGGCGTAGGTCGAGAAAATAATAAGAATTAGTCTACTTTCACCTCCCGTTTTTCCTTTATTGGTCAAAATCTTTTTTCTCTCTCTCTCTCTCTCTCTCTCTCTCTGCAGATAAAAATTTCTAAAAACCGTACCAGTTTAACCCATCTCTAGGGATGACTGGCGTGTGCTAGAAACAACGTAAAGGAGTACATCTGAGCCCGTTGCCCCTTAGAAGAAGGAGGTCCTGTAAACAGATCTACTGCCTTCCTGTTTTCCTGTCTACCAACTAAAACCATCCTCTTCTACGTGTGCGAAGTTGACTGTCCAATGTACCGTACTTCGAGAGTGGGATGGCCGCTGTAATGCTGACGACACTTTCGGAACATTACCTTCTATTATCTATATCTTATCTCTGTCGTTGGTGCGGCTGGTGTTTCTCTTCTTCTGCTTTCTTTTGAATTACCGTTCGAATGTAGTTATGTAAAATATTCCATCCCTCCTTACTTCACGATCATCTCTCTCACAGTAACAGGGTTTATACCTATTTCTCTATACATTCTGTTTCTCTCCACTGTCCATCTATTAAATCCAGCATTGTGTGAGTAACAGTGTTAGACTATTCACAGTATAGGCATTTATCTGCATCTGTCTTTCTGAATCTATGAAGATATGTCCTAAAACACTCACGATATGTGCCTAAAACACAGCATCTTGTTGCTCACTGAGCAACATCTTCTATGTTTTTCTACTCTTCTTGCCATCTTTCTATTGATCTTTCTCTTACTTCTTTTTTATGGCTGCTATCGAATATTCTCTTGCTCATAGAGACGTCTCCTTTCTACTGCTAACACGTGCAGAGAAACACAACACGTGATAGTCCTCAAGGCCACCGCAGATACAGTCCTGTAGGCGCATACTACTCGCAACAGACTTGTTCTGTCTGCTCTTATCATGAGCCCTTTGTAGGTCGGTTTCTCTATCGACTCACTCCAGACTGGTGCGGCGTAAAGGATGATTGACTGCACAACACCGTGTAAGGCCCCTTCTCCTTTTTGATTTGGGTCCTCCAATGTTAGGCATCATCCCCCCGTCGCAGCCGCACTTTTCGCTGCTTATACCCGGCTGCCTATATTACCCGCACTTGCCATATTGGTGTAGTGTCACTCCCAGATATTTGATGATTGGTGTAGTGTCACTCCCAGATATTTGACGCATTTCTTTGATGTTAGTTGTATCCCTGAACATTAAAGTTTTATCCCTTTTTCGTTTACTTTTTCCACAGCGTCTTCGTGGATATCTATTATCGAGCTCTCAATACCTTTCGCGTCACCTCGTCCTTCTGTCCAGACTTTGACTACGTCACAGGCTTGCTTTTTTCCCGCAACTTCCTCTACTGCTTTATTAATCACTTCTGCCGTAGTGTCGGGTGGAATTTTCTGGACTAAAATTCTCTTTTGTGTCCCCTTTTGCCATCACTCTAGACACGCATTCCTTCCCCAAAAGCATTTTCTTTACTTTCTTGGCAATTTCTCTTCTTCCTCCTAGTTCAAGCGATATCTCTTGGTCTCTTGTCTGTCTTATTCTGTTGATGTCCACATCATTCCGTTCCTGATCTAAATTTGCACAGTCACTATATTGGTAACCTTATCAATATATTCGATAAAAAACTAAGATTGCAGGTGACCTGCTAATAATTTTAATAACTTAAATACTTAATATTAAAAGTCCTATTACTTCACCTTTTTTACTATTTTAAAATATCTACAAAATATATCAGTTCTATCATTATTATAACATCTTTTCATTTGTTAATAAGTTAACAATTTAATTATTATATTTTAGAATAAATCAGTTCTTGAAAATCATCACTGGAGGTCAGCAGTTGGTTGTCTCTTAGAAAGTGGAGTTGCTGAACAATTGACCCCTTATAGATCAGAATTGGAACAACAAATTCGTGATCTAATATTAGCAACGGATATCAATAGACAAAACGAATTCCTCACGCAATTTAAAGTAAGTACTTAATCAAATCGTATGTTTGTTTAACTTATACTAAAAAGCTACTGGACAAAAAACCCGAACACCTTCATATCTTACTGGTCTGTTATTGTTTTCTTATGAAATTTAATTTTTTTTTTAAATCATTTTTACGAATTTTTTAGATTTTGAACTGACTCAGTTTGTGTCCAGAAAGTTTCAATAAGATCTTGTTTCTATTAGAGACTGGGTATATATGTAAATATATAACCCTTCTATATATATATTAAGGATCAGTCAGATGAGTGGTGGGTTTTTTTCGGTCAAAAGGTGGAGAAAAAAAAAACAAAGAGGATGGCTACTTTATCTATTTATTGAAGACGTTTCGCTTTCTTAATCAGAAAGCATCATCAGTTCATCTAAAAAGAACAATATAAAAAAACAACCACACAAACATGGAAAAGTTGTTACATGTGTTACCTTAAAAAGATATGTAGCAGTCATTATTAAAAAAAAGTGGAATGAAATCAAAGCGTTCACAAACATCCCTCTAGAAGAATTTCTGCTAGCAGTCGAAACAACATTAAAGTCAACCTATTTCCAATATAAAAACAAAATCTTCCAACAAACAGATGGATGTGCTATGGGTGCTAGCATATCCAGTGCCATCGCTCAATTAGTTTTAGAGCATCTAGAGGAAATTGTTTTAAATAAAATAGATTTTGATATACCTTTTTTCTATCACTATATAGATGGCTACTTGAGTGCAGCACCAGAAGATAAAATGGATAATTTACTATCTTTAAAAAAACAACAATTATAATTATTATTTACTATTTATAACTGGGAATAAGCCACAATAAGCCCAGTTATAAATAGTAATTAATTTACAATGCCACAAGAAAATAGCTTCAGAACTATAATTATTATGTTTGTGTCAAATTCTTTTGTCTCATTAAATATTTATATTATATATAAAAATATATATATTTAAATTATATATATATATATATATATATATATATATATATATATATTTAAGTTAATTCATAACAATGAAGAAATGCACATAACTTCATTTATTGTAGTAACTCGGAATGACGTGACTGCCAAGTATTTCGTACCTCGAATAAACAGTTTTTTTATAATTATGATTGAAATATAAGAAGTATCAATTTATACCGGCCAGTGAACCATCCAGTTACTAACGCTCTATTTTAAATTTTTAGAAACATTTAGACGAAGACACTTTGGATTTGCGAGAGGCCCATCATAGACAGTTTATTATGCAAATCGCTCTTAAGTGTGCAGATATTTCAAATCCCACTCGTCCATGGGACATATCTAAGAAGTGGAGCTCAAAGGTATGCGATGAATTTTTCAGACAAGGTGAATTTGAGAGAAAATTGAATCTTCCCGTTACATCAATTTGTGATCAGCAATCTACATCAGTGGCGAAAATACAAGTGGGTAAGTACATTTATGATAAAATGAAATGATATTATCTATCTTCATGATAACATGAATATAAAAGTATTTCGGTATCATCTCGTTAAGAACATACATGTTTTTTAATTTCCACACAAAGTTTGAACTTAATGTTTCGATGTACTTAACATCTGCGCCTTGAGAAGAGAAATAATAATTTTTTTTTAGTATCTGTATCTCTAAGCATCTGTATTACTATTCCACATAATATATTTATTACTGTCGTTTGCACCTATCTACTTTTTAGTAGTAACAGATCCTACCAATATCTTTTTGTTCTTTCGGAATTAGATCTGCATTTTGATTTCTAATATTTTTAATAAATCTTTTTTTTTTTATTTTGTTGTTGTTGTTTTGTGTTAAACGTATTGAGGTCGCTGGAAGATTTGATTTAAAATAACAAAAAATGCAATATGTGTAAATGAGGATGTAATGTAGATGATTGTAATTCAAATAACAATTAGCAGATTTACTAACTTGTAATTGTGAATTGAAGGGCTTGGAAGATGAACGTGTTATGTTACATTTGCTTAAAAATTGGGATATCTATGGGGATGAAGGCGTTATGTGTTATTCTTTCTCATAGCACATCTCCCATTCACTTCTAGCAATAACTTAGTATTTATTCAGCTGGTGAAGGGGTTATGATACACTAATATGCAGAATGTTTGGAGGGAGAAGGTGCCATGTGTCTTCAGCATGCACATAACACCTTCATCCACTTAGTCACTGTGCTTTGTTGACGTTGTAAAATAAAGTGCAAGATGAGAAGAAGCAAACAAATATTAGAATTGGCTCTTAAACAGGCAAAAGAAGACAGTTATGAAGGTAAGCTTGATGAAACAACTAACCTAAAATAATATACTACAGTAAATTGCCATTAAAAATAAATGTAATATGGTGAGTAGCCCTATTAATAGTGACCAGGCTCATTTAGATGTAGAACCACAAGTAAAAAAACAAAAATTGTCCAGGAAACGACAGAAAAACAAACACCAATGGAAAAGAAATATGGCTGCTAAAGCAAGAGAATGTAGAGAAATGTGGAAAATCTCGTAAAGGTGTAGTGATTGCTGCCAAGCGCATTAATGAGGATAATATTATTTGTAATGAGTCGATTCGTGTCGATTAAAATGTTCAACTAGGATTAACCAGGATACAAGAGTATTAATTTTTAATGATTTCCACAAACATTATATTAACGGGAAAAATGTAATTCTTTTTAAATCAATTTCCATAAGTAAACCTCGGCGAAAACGTAAGGGTACAAACAGACATAAAACTGCATATTTTAAGTACAGTATTACAGTAAATGGAATTCATGTGCCAATTTGTAAATCAGCCCTAAATTTCATTGTACCAAATAGGCAGAAAGAAAGTATTTCTTATCCAAAACCAGATAAAAAAAGGTTTGTCAGCGCCAGAGTTAGACAAACGGCGCAAACATAACAACAGGCCTACTAAACTTGATCCAGATATAATAAAAAAATATGTTATGGAACATATTGCTTCGTTTCCTGCTGAGTTGACTCATTATTCTAGAGCCAACAATCCAAACAAAAAATACTTATCGCCGTTATTGTCCGTACCTAAAATCTACAAACTTTACATTAAACAATGCAGACTAGACCAAGTTTTAGACGAATTCTTAGTAAAGAGTCCATGTACAGATTTATTTATTATTACGAGTTCAATTTATCCATTGGACAACCTAAGAGTGATACATGTAGTACATGTGATAGTGGACAATGTTCAGAAGAACATATTGATTTTTATAAATCTGCATTTTTGGCTCAAAAAGCTGACAGGGAAAGTGCCAATGTGTTGAACGATGTTGCATATGTCACTATGAATCTGCAACAGACTATGCCATTGCCTCGTTTGTCTACAATAAAAGTTTTCTATAAAAGACAGATGTGGTTTTATAATCTTGGCCTGCATATAATTTCAAAAAAGTAGACAGGGGCCTATTTTTTACCTGGACAGAAGACGTAGCAAATCGTGGCAGTACAGAAGTTGCAAGTTCACTGTTGAGTGCGGTTGAAAGTGATAGAACACTTCGAGAAAAAAATCATCAGCAAGTGTGGTCCGACTCTTGTGCCGGACAAAATTAGAATTTCCAGATTATTTGTCTGTACCAGTACATGATTTTGAAAGGGTACTTCAAAACTATAGACCATAAATTTCCAGAGGTGGGCCACTCTTACCGAGACTAAGATCGTGACTTTGGTCGCATCGAAAAGAATCTACAGAAACAGTCTAATTTATTCTTACCAGATGAGTATCGACAGATAATACTGCAAACAACCAAAGAAAACCAGGTTACAAATATAGAACACCATTTCAGGAACATTGAAGAATTAGCTACATCTCTAAAACTAGTAAACCGGAAAAAGGATCTTCATGGAGAGACTGTTCAATTTAGAGATGGCATCAAATGGAAAAGGGTAGTGAATTTGGTAGTTATCTGTTTAAATATAGCTACGACCCCAATATGCCGTTCAAGAGGAGATATTCGACATTATAGGTCTACTAATAAGACAAATAAAACTATGTGTGTTATATCCCCAAACTTTGTAGTTCCAAGAGTAAACAAGAAGATTGGCAGTTTTTCTGCAGAGAAAAAAGAAGAGATTAAGCAGTTATTGCCATATGTACGCCTTGAACACAGATGGTAGTACGAAGTAATGTTGCAGGGCAATTAAAAAGGGTAGCGTCCTACATGTTTGTATACCATTTTTGCATTGACTAACAGAATGTTATTTTGATTTATTTTAAATAAAACATAGCTCTAATTTGTGACTTTGGCTTGTCTTCTGATCTACACATAGCACCATATACTTACTTGTTTTCATATATCCTACATTCTAATAGGTTGGTGGACAAAGGTGCTATGTACATATTTGATTTTTTTTAAAGGGTGAAATGTATATTTTTCAAAAAAAAAAAAATTGCTCGCAAGAACTTTTGTTATCCAAAAGATTCTAGATTCAAAATTTAAGTTTTTTTAACAGGTTCTTGTAAAAATGCAACCAAAAAAACTTTAACCTGGATTATCTCATTTTCAGTTATTTGTAACATAGCAGCTTGACCTTACAAACCCTTCAATTCTATATGATATTCACCTACCTTTTTGTGAATACGGCCGATATCTAGACTGATGAACAGCGACGTCTGTGGCTGATGCACTGCTCGGAACCTTAGGGTATGCTGGACGTACACTTGACACTAGTACAGATCTTAATTTTTTTGAGATGTTTGCGCAACGACGAGTTATTTTAGAGTGCCTATCCGTACAGAAGAAGTAGGTATATACGACAGTCAACTAAGGTGGTTCCTTTAAAATCCATCTTAAAATTTCTACACAAAAGACGGGTATGTTTTCTTGAGAAAACTGAAATGTTCTGGGTTGATAAATAGTTTCCCAAAAACATGTTGTTTTCAGACAAGTGATTCTAAGAAAGACAATAATAAATCAGCCAATTTAAATAAGTCGCGAATACTTTTCCTCGCAGTTGTCTATATTGTCTGTGCAAAATTTCAAAGTTCTGATTAAATATTTTGCTTTTTTTAATCAACTGAGTAGACTATGGTAATTTTACGGTTGACAAAACCAGCTTTGTATTACATTACCTTTTTTTAAACTTCTCCTGTCGGATCTATGTAAACTAAAGTGGGGTAAGAGTACGCACCTAGTTGATCAAGATCTGTTTCACAATATTGAAAAAAGATAAAAACGGAAACTTTCGGTGTTGGGCCGTTTATAATACAATTCTTTATATTACAATATTTTACAATCTTCTGAGGTGTCCTAGCTCTTGACAAACTTTCTCCATTCCTTCCTATTATATGCCATCTGTGTTGCTTCCTGCCAAGTCTTACCCTTACTCTGCAGTATCTGCGAGATGTCACTGTTCCATTCTTTAATGGGTCTTCCTCTTCTGTTCTTCCCTATTGGTTTGGCGTCCCACACTCTTTTTACTTGTCTATTATTGTCCATCCGGGTTAGATGTCCGAACCATGCCAATTTTTTCTCCTTGATTGATTCGAGAATCGGTTTGATTTTTAGTCTTTCTCTTATTTCTTCATTTCTGATTCTATCAGTTCTTTTTACTCCGATCGTTCTTCTGAGGTATTTCATTTCTGCTGCCTGAATTCTGCTTTGATGCCTTTTGTTTAGTATCCAATTTTCTGCTCCATATGTCACTGTAGGTCTATATATTGTTTTGTATATTGTCATCTTGGTCTTTGTTGATATTTCTTTGTTATTAAGGAATCCTCTATTTAGTGCTTGGAATAGTTTTCCTGTGTTTTCCATTCTGTTGTTAAGATCGTCCTCGATGTCTCCTTTGTTGTTGATTACTGTTCCTAAGTATTTGTATGAATTTGTCTGTATTATTTTTTGTTGGTCTATCATTATTTCTAGTTGATCTTCCGTCCCTTGTTTCCTTGATATTTTCATTATCTGAGTCTTCTCTTTGTTTACGTTTAAGTTGTATTTGCTTGCTTCTAGGTTCCATTTCTCTAAGTTGTATTTCAGTTTTTCTGCTGTTTCCGCAATTAATACTATGTCGTCTGCAAATATACACATCTCAGCGTTTATCATTTGCATTCTGTTCCAACCGATGCAGTATTTCTTGAACGTTTTCTTACATTCTTTCACTATCTCATCTATTACATTTATGAATAGCACTGGGCTGAGACTTCCTCCTTGTCTAACTCCTTGAGTTGTTTCAAATGGTTCTGATTGCATATTTGACATTCTTACTGTGTTTGTTGTTTTCATGTATATACTCTTTGTTGCTTCTATCAGTTCTTCACTTACTTGCTTCTTCTTTAGGCTTTCCCATATATCTTTTCTTTTGACTGAGTCGAATGCTTTTTCCATGTCTATAAAGCTCAGATATATTTCTCTATTTTTCTTTAAGGCTTTTTCTATTACTTGTTGCATGGTGAATATATGGTCTTGTGTGTTGTGTCCTTTCCTGAATCCACTTTGTACGTCCTCTAATTTATGTTCTATTTCTTTTCTGATTTTCCTTTCTATTATGGTTTCGTATACTTTTGCTGCTACACATAGTAGTGATATACCTCTATAGTTCTTACAGTCTCTTGTGTTTCCTTTCTTGTATATAGGTATAATTACTGCATTTGTCCATTCTCTGGGTATTACTTTTTTCTTCGATTACGATCGAGGACGGAGATTGTATGAATTCTGTAAAGAAAACGATATGATCATTGCAAACACCTGGTATAAACTACCCAAGCGACGACTATACACTTGGAAAGCCCCATTTGATGATGGCAATAACCCTGAGTCTTCAAGAAATCAAATAGACTATATACTTGTAAATGAGCGTTTCCGAAATGCCGTCAAAAAAGTCACTACATATCCTGGGGCAGATATTGGATCTGATCATCAACCACTCGTAGCAGATATTAAACTAAGGTTAAAACGAATTCAGCGACAAAAACCAAAAACCAATGTACTTAACTTTGACGATATAAACATAAAACATAACATTAAAAAAGAATTTAACAATAGAATAAAAAACATCGGGGAACAACTAGAAGATCCAGAAGAACTATGGAGTGAATTTAAAAACCAAGTTAACGAAATCTCCACAAACAATGATTATAGAAAAAACTCTTAATCAAGAAAAATAACTGGATGACAGACGACATCTTGAAATTAATGGAACAACGTCGACTGATAAAATCTAATGTAACAGAATATAGACACCTGCAGAGAAGAATAAAAAAGGAGATCAAATTAGCCAAAGAAAAATGGATGAGAGAAAGGTGCGACAAAATGGAGGATGTAATATCTAAACACGACTTATTTAATGTGCACAAAAAATTAAAAGAAATGAGTAATATATTTAAAAAACGAGTTCCTTCTGTACTTGTTGACACTAATAACAAAATTATTGTAAATGAGCAAGAAATAAGAAAAGAATGGCAGCTGTATATATCAGAGTTGTTTGAAGATGACAGGAATAATATTGTCGAATTCTACCAAAACTGTACTGACGACCCAGAAATTATGAAATGCGAAGTAGAACATGCTATAAATAATGCTAAAATTAGAAAAGCTTGTGGTCCAGATGATACACCAACTGAGTTGCTGAAACTAATAGAGAATGATAATATAAAAGTAGTAGTAAGACTTTTTAATTCAATATATAACACCGGAGTGATTCCCGCAGATTGGCTCAAATCCATCGTTATCGCAATACCTAAAAAACGCAATGCGAGAAAATGCTCAGAATATCGATTAATTAGCCTAATGAGCCACACTCTTAAAATTTTCCTCAGAATACTTCACAACAGAATTAGACGCAAATACATAAAAGATAAAACACAACCAAAGTATGAAAATTATAAGAGACAAAGAACAAAAGTTAAAGAGATAGTTAAGAAAGAGAAAAAGAAAAGTTGGGAAAAATTCGGAGAAAAAATGGAAGAAAACAGCACAGAAAACGTAAAATTAATTTATAGAACACTGAAAACCCTAAGAAGCAACAAAGAAACGAAACTAAAACAAATAATGAACAATAATAAAAGACGATAAGACAATAATGGAAAGATGGAGGGAACGCTTCCAGCTGATACTGAATGGAAATCAAGCGAATACAATGGAGAAGGAAAGCCACATCAAGAGAGTATCCATGAGAAACATGGAAAATCCAGAAACTATAGAAAAAGAAGAACTGGAAGAAGCAATAAGAAAGATAAAGATTGGAAAAGCACCAGGAAGCGATGAAGTAGCACCAGAAATGATGAAATATATAGGAGTAAAAGCAAAAGAAAAATTGTTATACATATATGGAACCTAATATGGATCGTTAGGTTGTCCTAAACCATAAGGACCTACAGTCTGACCTCGTCGACCTTCTCCAATTTTTGCATTGAAGTCGCCTATAATATATAAAATTTCGTATTTACTAAGTTTCTGTAAGATGTCTTGGATCTGATCATACAACTTCTCGACTTCATCGTCATATTTTCTATTTGCAGTCGGGGCATAGATTTGAAGTATGTGAGTTTTAAATGGTTGAGTATTTATTTGGATTAATATAATTCTATCCGAGACTGGTACGAAATTGGTCACATATTTACTCAGTTCTGATGTTACTAATATACCTACACCATTTTTGTGATGCGGGTCTTCTGTGCTGTCACCGGAATAATATAATACACTTCCGTCCTTTTTAATATAGATAATACAGTTACCATTTATTTGCTCTATGCTTTATATATATAAGAAATATTTTCACTTACAATAGTTAATTTGTGATCGTATGATTCACCGTGCCGCAGTTGATAACTTAAGACCAGTCTGTCTTCTCAGACTAGGCTATTTGTCTGGCTATTTTTTAGGACATTCCAGCCACACTGTTTCTGTCCAGGTTATCCACATTTTCTCTGCCTCGTAATTGATATAGAAACCAAGTCACGTCTCCTGTGCATTACCATACTAGATGATTGATGTGTATAATTCTGGGGAATTTTTAATCTTAGTAATCTAGGTAATCGGTTCCCCTTTCCGTAATAAATTGCCTGATACCTTTTATTTCGTCGAAAATCTTGTTATTACTGTTGAATAAGTTGATCCCACTTATCTCATGTTCTTCATTTATTGCTCCAATTCAATTTTTCTTTCGTACAAAAGCTTCCAAACGGTGTCATTAGGTGTCAGCATTAAGAATAGTTACGACAATGACGAGGGTATGCTATTTTAAAATGTTAAGCACTGTCCCAAAGTTACTCGGATTTATGGTATCTATTTTTATTTTAGTCGCCATGATGACATTGTCGATATATTTTAACCAATGGTCTTTTAATAAAAAACAAGTTTTACTTAGTATATTTATTCAAATATTTAAAGTAGTATCAAATAAATACTATGTTATTACCATATACTTATTATAGTTTAAAGGGTTTTATGTTCTAGGTTTTTTTAAGAATGTAGTTACACCACTGTTTGCTGAATGGCATAGATTTATGAGCAGTAGTCTTTCAACGCACATGATGAACATCCTAGATACTAACCGAAAACGTTGGGAAGCACAAGAAAAAGCCGAACAAGCGGAAGAAACACAAACGGAATTGTCGGACGCCGAACCTGAAGTTGCCAGTGACGACGAAGAAGAACCACTGACAACAAAATCTTCAACAAGTCGATGTACACAAGAATATACATCACATGCGCCAAGGTAATAACTTTAAATTCATCTTAGGCTGCCTTAAATGATATTTTCATTTTGTTCTACGGCAGCTTCTACTATATCTTAACTTTTAAAATGATCAATCTCATATCCAATCCATACACGTTAATGTATGTCTACTAACGGAGATGGCTAAAGCATTATCAAAACGGAAACAACATCTACAAAAATAATTCTTTGTCTTGGCACCAAAACTTATACATAATAAGAGTAGATTTATCTAAGTAAAGGCAAGACATCTCAAAATAAGGTTATGCCCACATTATCATCCTTCTGTCTAACCTGCATTAGACAAGAACATGAATGCGGCATACGAATTATGTAGTTATTTTCTTCTTAGACTTATTATTAAATGACTAGCAGTGGACCAAAACTATTGACTAAATAGCTCAAGGAAAGTCAACGTTCAAATAGGACTGTAGTACCATTGATAGTAATTATAATAACTATGTAAGATTATATTTAATGCCTTATCAAATTTAACACCACAATAGTGTTATTGACACTGTAATATTTTTGAAATATCTTTAGACGCGATCTGCGCCAACTTGGGTATTGACAAAGACAGTCACTTATGCCACGTTGACAAATTAATTATTTCGATATTTAATTTCATGAGCTCTTTTTATACACAATGATTACTATAACTTAGGCACAATGATTTTATAATATATTTAATTAGTGGAACAATGGCAACCAAGTTAAAATGTTGGACGTAATTAGTAAATTATGTATTTGGAATTTTGCATTTAACGAGAAACCACAACTGTTTTACTTAATACGAGGTTATTTGAAAATATCTAAAAATCGATCGCTTTCGTATCCAATTCTTTTTAACTGAATGTAAATTAGTCCAAAACCGCATTGTACTCAGATCTTCAGTTTACAGCGAAAATGACCTTGGTGGTTTCAGCTGTTTGGGTCTCAGTATACCTACTAGATAAATAACGCAAGGCGAAAATACTTACTGAACAAAATATAAATTTTTTATCAGTTTTAGATTATTCTACTAATTCTTTTATTTTTAGGGATATTGGAAGACAATCACTTACTGTTCCAACGTTGGAATCATTAGAAGTAAGAAGACATTCTGTGCCAGTTAATATGGAACATACACTGCCAAGACCAATTTATAGAAGAGAGAGCCTACCAACGGGTAAAGGTATTCTATTAAATCGAACGCCCGTTAGCCCACAGACTGAATCAAGAGCTTCCAGTGGCCTTAAAGAGGAAGATGAATTATTACCATATGGATCACAATCTGATGTGTCTTCTTCAAGTCCTCTATATTCATCAGGTATATTATAGTTTGCAACTATAAATAAAAGCAAATGAAAAATATCGGCAAACAAAAGGTTACATAAATGTAACATACTAATAATAATATAAACAAAATAATAATAAACAAAACAAAACATGAATAAACATAAAAAATCGAGTCTATTATACCAAATAAGGTTTCTCCACAATTTTCGAAATCTTCTGATATAAATGCTGAAAAAGTATTTTGTAGTTGTTTGTATTGTTTAAATTGTTTTTTGTGTTTGTTTTGTTTTTAATATAAAAAATTTTCAAATTTTTCAAATGTTGGAGTATGCTAAAACTGGTGTCTCCACAATTTTCGGAACCTTCTGATATAAATGCTGAAACAGAAAATATGATTTTGCCCAAACATAGCCAGGAAGAACTTAGTTATGCAGAAATAAAATAAAAAATGTTCTTAATAATGGACTTCTTCAAGATACCAAATAAAATCACGTAGAAAAAAATCGACGGTGTCGTCGACGTCTGCACTAGACCTTAGCCACAAGGTTAACATAACGAGCTTTAATTTATTTAAAAGCTTTGTAGTAAATTCAAACCTGATACAACTCATTACAGAACTTACTAGATTTAACTTAACAAAGATTCTGCTTTATAGTGCTTATTAATGACAATACAGCTGATTTGATGTTTATATCAAAACAGTAAAGGATTTACTTTGAACATGCAAAAATGGGCTTAATCAAAACAGTAAACGATAAATCGAACAGCAATTAAACAAATTAATCACAAACGACATCTATGGCGAAAATTTAAACACACCGGGCTTCTTAGTGATTGCAAAAATGGTGTTTAATCAAAACAGTAAAGTAGTTTCGAAACATGTAAGAGGATTCTATAAATACATAAGTTTCAAACTAAAGGTTGCTGCCCTTTCGCCTCTTCATTTCTTTGAACTCTTGTTAGGGCGTGGTGATACTTTAAATATTATTAAATTCCACCAGTCTTAGCTTGCTGCCAGTAGTTGCCAAAGTTATGGAAGCCATTATTTCCGAGGAGATGACCAAATTCCTTCTCCAGGAACATGTTATTCCAACACAACAACATGGATTTGTCTCTGGTCGCTCTACTCTAACCAATCTCCTACATTGTGTTAACGACTGGACCTCATCCCTTAACAGTTCGCAGCCGGTCGACGTTGTTTATCTAGATTTTTCTAAAGCCTTTGACCGTGTACCTAAGCGCAGACTTCTACATAAGCTAGAACATTTCGGAGTTCGCGGTACTTTACTTCGTTGGATAGATGATTTCCTGACAGATCGATATTACAAAGTTAGAGTTGGCGAATCTTTCTCACAGGACAGGTTAGTGGAAAGTGGAGTGCCTCAGGGTTCTGTCCTTGGACCTCTGCTTTTTACGGTTTACACCAGCGATATTCCTTATTATGTCTCAAGTAAAATATCGTTTTACGCTGACGACACAAAAATATATGCCAATCCAAACACAAACCAGCTAACCCTCCAAATGGACTTGGACTCTATTTTAACTTGGTGTTCCCAGTGGTTACTACCCTTAAACGCGGAAAAATGTGTAGTGCTTCGAATTGGCAAAAATAACCCACTTGTGCCGTACTTTGTTAACGGGCAGCCATTAGAATCTGTGTTTTCGTATAACGATCTTGGTGTTATCGTGAACAGCAGCCTAACTTGGTCCGACCATATTACCTCTATTTGTAAACGTGCAAACTCCAGACTGTATCTTATTCGGAGGTGTTTTTCGAGAGTTTCAATGCAATCATTTTGCAAACTTTACACTCTGTACGTAAGACCCATACTTGAATACGCTGGACCAACGTGGTATCCCGATCTGGTTCGAGACAAGACTCTGTTGGAAAACGTTCAAAGAAAAGCCACTCGAATTTCTTTGGGACCGAGAAGACCGTCTTATGCAGAAAGACTTAGTATGGCTAACCTAACTACTTTTGAACTTCGCCGACAACGTGGAGACTTAATTACAACATTCAAAATACTAAAATTCAATTTTGGAAACCTCGATGAAATATTTATCATAAATCAAGATGAACGCCTCAGAGGTCATCAATATAAACTAAAGAAAGAAAATTTTTCTATAAGACAAAGACAGAACTTTCTTCCAAATAGAGTTTTTGAGTGCTGGAATAACCTCAACGATAACATTGTCTCCGCTTCCTCTACCAACTCGTTCAAAAACAGACTTGACAGTTTTATATTATAGTTAAAATATTGTTTTTCTTTTAAACCAAAAATTGTAATTTTATTTCTTTTATTTGTAATTTTTGTTATTTACTAGTAGGTGATTAATGAAATTTCTTTGTTTTTGGGCATAATAGGGACTTAGTTCCTCTGCCCTCGGCCACCGTGCTTCGGAGGACACGAAAAGGCCGGAAATTGTGTCAATCTCCACAAGAACTCGCCCATTCACAAATCGTCAATCCTTAATTTAAAAGTAAGAAGCGTTGCTCTCAAAAGGATACATCCATTACCTTTGAAACAACTGGATGACGGAAGTATTTACTGGCGTAATATTTTAACCAGAGTAGTTGCTGCCATTAGGGCTCTTACGTCAAGAGTCAAGGTCTATATCTCAGGAGAGACACTAATATAAAAGGCTGGAATGAAAGCTATTTGATGGTTTTGGAATTAATAGCTAAATTTCAAAATTTTTTTACAAAACAACACAAATTATCTATCATCTATTATATGTGATAAAATAATAAAAATATTAGCTAAGAGAGTGGAGTAAAATATGTGTGGAGTTAAAATAAGCCAAGTATTTTATCATTTTAGTTGATTCTACTCCTGATGTATGTCACATTAACCAGCTAACACTTGTTGTCTAACACGTAGAAACTTATAGAAATGATCTTGGAGATAACTCTATCGTTGAATGCTGCCATTTTCAAGCATAATGTACAGTATCTATTTGGTGAAAAGTTTTAAGATACCACGTTAATAAGCATTTCAACTTACCACTGTTACCATTATCTTTAAGATGTCTATCCGAATATCGACATAGTGTTTCGAATGTCTTTCGATTCCGGTTACAAACGGCTCTGGTGAAAGATTATTTTCTTGCTTAAAGAGGGTAAAAATCTATTTGAGATCAGCCATTAATGAAGATAGATTGAAGGCAGTGATAGAGGACCTTACTCAGAAGAAGGTCCTTACGCAGGAATTAATTTTAGATGGAGACTGGAGGAAAATGAAGGAGTTATTTCCTACTACTATTCATTATGTAAATACATGGCATGTAAAAAAATAATTGTAAAAATGCAATTACATAACAATTTTTACAATTTTTATCGTATTTTATCCATGTTTAATTAATGCCTTTTATTAGGAGTTGAGTATTTTAATACTATTACAATTATTATTTTTTTTAAGGTTAAAGTAAGTTTATTGACGTTTCAATTTCCACTTCAGAAATCGTTTTCAAAATTCAAACTTTAACTATGAAATTCTGTTATAATAAAATAAATAAATTGATCTTATGGAGGTTTAATGAAAAGAAAAACATACACTTTGCTGCTGATATGCATACAATAAAAATTGCAATAAAAGTGTGAAGAAAAGAAGTCAAAAATGGTAGTTCCAATAATTCATTTTTTAAATAAACTTATAGTTTTATTGTATAATAGATACAAATACAGTTCCTATTCTAGGTTTTCATTTTATCAAAATTTAAGTATCATAATTAGTGTTTGTGGCGGGGAGGGTGTCATGAAGTCAAATGTGACTCTGGTTAGATCGGACGTTTTAGGATTAGAATATAAATAATGCTTTCTTACATCAATTAGGAGAATACTCGTTAGTTAACTGACGTGAGCAGATACTTATTGACAGGTCTCATATGGTATTGCCTCTTACAGTCTTCATACAGTATAATAAAATATTTCTTGTATCGTGTCTTATCAGATTTTCATTGTTTATACACCATTATAGACATACAACAAAACGTTAATAGGAAAATATTGATTTGACAAATCCCTAAATTGTTCCTTGACTAACTTACCTAATATTTGTCACAAAGGCTACTGATTTTTTGTCAAAACTAATGTAATGTAATGGTATTAATAGTATTGAATTAAACATTGAAGTAATATCAAATTTGATTCATCTTTAACAAAAAACTGACTGACCAAATATTTTTAGAACAACCAGAAAGGCCTTTAAGTGCTGAAAATCTTTTACCAGAACCAACTATAGCGTCCATGACAAGTAGTACAGCTGTGAGCAGGCTCACTTCTATTCTTCAAGGCAACGTCGTGGTACCAAATAAACTTCTAACAAGACAGCAAACATTTCCTCCTCCACAACCTTATATTAGAATGAGATACATGTCTGCTACGGCAGAAATGAGCACATGTACAGAAATCCCTAGTGAGGGTAAGTTTTTACCTTTTTACTTTATCAGTTTATTTGTTATCTATTGTAGGGAATGTTGTATATATCGTGAGTATATGAGGTGAATGTCGAAATACTAAAGCTGTTAACATAAGACGGTATTCAAGTATTCTGTGATATCTTTAACATAATTTATGACACTTAAAATATGTATTACTAATTGATTGACTTATTGACTTTTGTTAGAATATCATAAAAACGCGCAGCTATTATCCAATCGCGAGTCTGATGAGTCACGTTCTAAATATATTCCTGAGAGTAATAGTACGCAGTAAAATATACAGAGTATCTTCGTTCTGTAAATAAACAAAAGGCTAGCAGATATTCGTAATGAAACAGGGAAACTATTAAGCATGCTGTTGAATCTAGTTATTGAGACAGTCATCAGAAAAACCAATGTAACCGGCTATATAACTACCAAATCAGTACAAGTTACTGCATATGCAGATAGTATATAACGTAAATAAAACCAAGTATATGACCGTCAAAAGAACACCTGACAATGCAATAATATAGTAACAGATCACAGAACGTGTGGATCCCTTTACATATCTGGGCACAGAAATCAATCAACATAATTCCATAAGTAGCAAAATTAATGCACATATTTCCAGTGGGAATCGTACGTACTATGCTTAGGAGAAACAACGAGAATAATGAATTAAATGAAGGGCACCTTCATTTAAATTTATAAAATAAAATTTATTTTATTAAATAAATTTTTTATATTCTCAAAATGTATGAAAGGTCAGAGACAGTCATGGCAGACACATGTCCAGATACAAGAAGGTTCAAAATCAACAAAAAAATATTATAATGGAAGTCGATAGAAAGATGAAATAAGGCCCAAAACGAGATGGTAGGATAACGTGGAAGACGACCTGAAAACTATGAATGTAAGGCAATGGAGCAATGGAGGAGAAGGGCACAAGCGAAGTCTGAATGAAAGAACATAGCCAGACAGGCAAAGAATCAACAAGGGTTACGATGCCAAAAGAAGAAGATGTTCTTTCTGTTCAGTATCCAAATGCTGATATAAAGGTGCCAAGATCAAAATGATACCAAATGGTACCAACAAAAAGAAGACATTTTGGTTCTACGTTTTTTGACTTGTCACAATCTTTAGTTAAATGCTTTTTTGTGCATTTAACACATCGGTTCTTTGGCACAGTATTTCCAAGTATGTCCATATGCTTGGTATTTCTTACATTGTGGCTATACTTAACTGGCTGGATCTCCACTCGTAATCCCAAGATGTTCGTATTCCCATAAATCTTATTGACATCTTCATCTTGCCTAGAGGTTACTATGACCATACCTAATGGCTGTTTGGTTCGCCATTTATCACTTTGTAATAATTGTCTTATAACTAGAACCAGAGAGAAATGGAATAAAGCTCGAGTAACTCAGAAGTTTCTTTAATAAAATTTAAAGAATTATACACTGAGGAATGCATTGTACGTTTACCATGCTAAATTTGGGGTGATTTAATCTGAGGCCTGTAAATAGTATGGCCTCTAACATAAATAATCCGGTAACGGTTGTGTTGTTGGAAAAAATGTAATAATTTACCATCTAAGGGCCGTCTTAGACCTAGGCTATCGCTTAGACCGTCGTGAGACATGTTAGTTTTATAAATGCCATACTGATCACTCGTCGTTGCGATAGTGGTCCTACTCAATACGAGATGAACCGCAGTACACTTACTCGAGTATGTAATGATACGAAGCTACCACCCGTGAATGCCACTAAGGCTGTATCCTTTTTAGTCACAGGTGGCAATGATATCTCTTAAAGTTTCGAGAGTCGAAGGGCTCAAAACAATATAACTTTACTAGGCAATCGTAGTTCGCTACGATTGTTGCACGAGCTCTTATTTCTGCTGAGATTATCATCATTTTACTTTGGGGTCGATCATTGCCAGTAGACTAGATCTTTAGATGGACGTATATGGGTATTATAATCTTTTCGATGTTGGAACTGGGAATTGTCTGTAGACTTACGTGCCAGCAGGGTGTTGTACCAGATAGAGCAGTTTCTACGCTGCGATCTATTGATTCTTATTCCTTACCTAGGGGATTCGTATTGTTGGTTAGATGAGAACCCTTGTATATATTAAAAAGTTTTATTTACCCATTTCTTCTTTGTGTGCCGTGCTTGTGTTCAAGCGTTGGGTATCGTCGTTTTAAAAAGCTAATGAAATTTTTCTCAGTCGCCAGCTAGATGAAACAATGCCTCTACCGTTAGACCTGTTCATTTTTTATTGTTAAGCAGCCAGGATAGTTGTTTTCTTTAGACGCAACGTTTTTCTTTGATTTTGCCCTGAACGATCAACCGTAGCAAGCGATATTTAGGTCCTCTTATTATATGGCCGAAGTATTATATGCTATATCAATTCTCGCTCTTTGTGCATAGTCTATAGCACACATTCGTTAGAGATGTGTATTGTACACGGGATTCTACAACTTGAACGTCTCTAGTTTTTATTTTTTTTAAGATTTTTTATTTTTGTTGTCCAGGTTTCACATGCATAAAACAAAGCGGACCAGACGTAGCACTTTCATACTATTAGAGATGTTGTCAACTACTACTATTTAAAGTCTTTCACCCTTTCCAGGATTTTGTTATCTAATTTTAGTACTTATTCTTCGATATTAATTTTTCCGACCATCATCCTTTTTTTTGCGTTGATTGTTAAACCCTTTTCAATGCATTCGTTGTTTACAGCGGTTAACAGGGTTCAAAGGTCTTCTAGACTCTCTGTCATTCACCTACACACTTCCGAATTATGGTGTAGTGATGGAACAGCACCTGATTTTTTTGCTGCATTAATTTCTCAAAAACGCTTTTATACTTTGTTAAGTGCTATAGATTTGATGACAGGAATGATAGAAAAGATAAAATTGACCCATATTCTTGATCTGTTTAAACACGCTGAGTATTATACTGCAGGACGATTTACAATTAATAAAATTCTTGATACCTTCCGTGTAAGATATCCATTTAGGAAGTACATGTCCAATAAGCCAGCCAAATATGGTATCAAGATTTACATATTGGCCGATGCCAGAACGTATTATTGGTATAAAATGAAAATTTTTGTTTGAAGGCTGCCAGATAGCCCATCTAAATTACCTAACAATATTTCTAGTCTAGTAAACCGCCTTATTTCACCTATCGCTAAATCCGGAAGAAACTTCAAAACTAACAATGAGCATTAATTTGATTTCGGTAACACTGACGGATAATTTTTCCATAAATTATGAATTGACAATTGTAGGTTCTTTATGCAAAAGTGAGACGTACATTCCAGTACAACTTTTGATTGCCACAGATCGATCAGTATGCAGCAGCATGTCTATATTTATAACAGTATAAAAGGCAACATTAACATAGTAGATAGACTTATGTCAAAATAACCAGTAACTAGAAAATATACTGACCACCATTAAATCTCGAAAGTTACAATTCTTCGGAGATATTACTCGAAATGAATCCAGATATGCTCTCCTTCAAGCCATCCTGCAAGGAAAAATATTTGGAAAGCAAGGTCCAGGAAGAAGAAGAACATCTTGGTTAAAGAACCTCAGAATCTGGTTCAATACAAGATCTGTGCAGCTTTTCCGCGCTGCTGCAGATAAGATAAAGATTGCCGTGATGATTGCCAACATTCGTAACGGATAGGCACATCAAGAAGAAGAAAAGGAACTTCTGAAGTCTCCTGGAGGGATGGAATCACAAATCAGGCAGTGCTAGAAAGGCTGTTTGTCCTAGAGTTTCTACAGCTTTTAATGCAAGAAAAGAATGCTGGAGAGGCGTAGAACAAAGAAGAATTTATTAGCTGCGAAACCATCTTGAATGTTTTGAAATGACATCGGTCAAATTATTCCGTGCAGCATTTTCGAAAGTGGTAATAGCCATGTTGATCAGCAACCTCCACAAGAGACGCTGAATGTACGAAGAAGAAGACAAGGATCATTCAATACAACTGTTTAATGTTTCTTTAGACGTTTAATTGGACCATTACTTTGTTTATATTGGTAACTATGTATATACATACAGAAATCATTTCGTATAACAACGTAACAAATAAAAATAATCTCAAATTCCTAATGATAGAAAAAACACACGACCGAATACAAAACAAAACAGCACAACCGTTCCCGGCTTAAGGAAAATAAGAACAACGCTTCTTTGTGAGTCCGGTCCTGAACATGGTGACACAAACTGTGTTTACATTTCAGTCCCGCAAAAGTGTACTTTTCAAAGTAATTAATATCAAAAAACTTAAACAAAAGCAGTAAGCGATCGTATATAGTGCAGTTACATTACCGAAAAAACAAACAGTGAGTTATTATTATTTTATATATCAAAACGTTTCAAAAGCATACTATTTGTAAGGTTAAGTGTCGGCCGAAAGGCCTGTTATCAGAACCACTGCTGGTTCTACAACTGGTTTAAATAATTATTAATTACCTACTAATGAGTTTATCAAATGATATCAGATCCGACCTTAAAAATTTGTCAACAGCCATGACTGACGATCAACAATCTCAAAACAAAACAACATATTCTGCTGTGCTTAATAATACTTCAATTCAGTTTCCTTCTAAGAATCAAGCAATTTTATTTAATGCGCTACCTGATACTAAAATAGAAGAGTACCTAATAGCTCTTGGCGAAGTTGTTCATCCACGGAATATTTTATTTTCATCAAGACTATCAAATAACAGAATATGTATCTATCTCTCCAGCGAATCCTTGGTCGAAAAATTTATGTCCAATCCAGCAGAAATAACAATAAAAGGCGAAAATCTAAAGGCTAGAAGATTAATAACTCCGAACGAAAGACTGTTACTATCGAATGTATGCCCTTCTATTCCACATACTCTAATAGAAAATGAGTTAATTAAATTGGGTCTCAAATTAATGTCACCTTTAACCTTCCTTAGAATAGGTAGTCAACTCCCAGAATTTCAACACGTCTTCAGTTTTAGAAGACAAACATATATTCAACCACTTGTAGATATGGACCTACCTTCTTCCTTCTTAATTACATATGAACAAACTTCGTATCGCATATTTTTAAGTTTAGATAAACCTTCATGTTTTATTTGTAAGCAAACAGATCACATTGCAGCAAATTGTACAAGTCATAATCCACAAAATGATCCCACTCTTATCCACCATCAACCACAACAACCAATACAACAACAACCACAAGAATCCTCACAGTATAACAAATCGCCCTTAGAAATAGAACCAGATCTTCCAGTCAGTAATTCTAATACCGAACCTACACCTAACCAAAAAACAGATACCAATTTAATACCTCCCGTACTTATGGAAACTACTGGTATATCTAAAGACCAGTCATCGACCAACAAAAGAACAATTTCGGAAATCAATACTACTCCATCTCCCACTGAAGAATTAAATAAAGAATTTAAAATCCCAAAACAAACCAAAAAGAAACAAAAAAAGCAACCTGAAGCTACCATATCAATTCAGGAAATGATGATGCCAACAAAAATAATATTTCATAATATGTCAAATAATTTTAACTTAACATATGAACAAACTCTTGACTTTTTTGAAAATTATTCTAGCTCGTCTGATCCCCTGAGCTTAATACAAACGTACACAACGGATATACCCAACTTTATGAATATGATAACAACAATTAAGCCATATTTTACAGAAAAAAGCATGAAAACCAAATGCACTAAAATAATAAACAAAATACAAAAAATGCTGAACTCAGACGATTCCGCAAATCAAGAAAGTGACACTACATCAAATTCAACTCAAGAAATAAACTAAAATCTTCGATCCGATTATTCAATGGAATGTTAACGGGTTCTATGCCCGTTTAGAAATGCTTAAACATTTATGTTCAATAATCTCGCCATCAATTATTTGTTTACAAGAAACAAACTTTAAAGGACAGCATAGTTATGACATGAGGAATTATTCTTGTTTCCATAAAAACCGAAACAACGCAAATATCGCTAGTGGAGGAGTTGTTACATATGTTAACCAAAAATATGAATCGGAAGCAATAGTAATTAATAGTAAATTAGAAGTAGTAGGAGTATCAGTGTCCTTTCCACAAAAAATAAATATCTGTAATTTATATATTCCACCTGACTTACCAATCACAGAAGCAGATATTTCAGATGTACTAGATCAGATTCCCACTCCCAGAATAATTGTTGGTGATTTTAATAGTCACAATCCAATATGGGGATCTCTTGGAATAAATTCCAAAGGTAAAATTGTAGAAAACATAATTACCTTAAAAAACCTAAACTTACTGAATGATGGACAATCAACACGATATAATATTCATACAGGTACCTCATCAGCTATCGACCTGTCATTATGTGATCCTGTGCTGTCACCAAAGTTTTCATGGGATGTAATCCCGTTTTTATATGGAAGTGATCATTATCCTATTAAAATCTCTTTCAATAATAATTATGAAGATATTAATACAACTCCAATTCCAAAATGGAATCTAAAGAAAGCCAATTGGTATTTATTCAAAAAGTATATTCAACAGAACTGCCATACTTTAAAAGAAGTCACCGAAAACCGACATATAGATGAACTTCTAAATTCGTTTATATCACTAATTCATTCTGCTGGCGAAAGTCATATAGGTAAAACACAAACTCTACATAAAAGAAATTCATTACCATGGTGGAACGCACAGTGTACTGACATAATAAAAAAATATAAAAAATCCTTTAACAAATTAAAACGTCACAAAACACCTGAAAATACCATAGAATATAAGAAATTACGGGCTCAAGCTAGATATATAACTAAAAAGAACAGAAAAAAATCTTGGCAAGAATTTATGTCTTCTATTAATACCAATATGCCTATAAGCACGGTATGGGAGAATGTTAGAAAAATATCTGGAAGCAATACCTATAAAAGGATTCCATTCCTATGCAAAAATAAACAGATAGTAACATCTAATTACGACATAGCAGAATTAATAGCAAAACAATTTGAAATGAACTCCAGCAATAATAACTTTTCTAAAGATTTTATCAATACTAAGATGATTTCGGAAAATCAGTTAATAGATTTTGATTGCATTGAAGATAATCCCCTTAATATAACATTTACCATGGAAGAGCTTAATCACTCTTTAAATACCAGCAAAAAATCGGCGCCAGGACCAGACAATATTCCTGTCAGTTTCTTACAAAATCTACCAGATAATGGAAAAAAATATCTTCTTAACCTATACAACAGAATTTGGATCAATAATGAGTTTCCCACAACATGGACGCAGGCGATAATAATTCCATTACTAAAACCAAATAAATCACGAACTGATCCTGATTCCTATAGGCCAATTTCTCTTACCAATACAATGTGCAAAATCCTAGAAAAAATGGTGAATTATAGATTGAGGTGGTTTTTGGAAAATAATAAATTAATAATCAATGAACAAAGCGGCTTTCGCAAAAACAGATCAACCATAGATAATTTAATAGATCTAGAATCCGAAATACATGAATCATTTGCAATTGGACAGGAATGTCTTGCTGTCTTTTTTGATATAACAAAAGCGTTCGACATGGCTTGGAGATATGACATTCTTAACACACTGAGTCATTGGGGTGTCAAAGGTAACATGCTATATTTTATACATAATTTTCTCAATAAGAGACAATTTAAAGTTAAGGTAAATGGAACAGTATCCAGCACTAAAGACCAAGCAAATGGAACACCTCAAGGTTCTGTCATTAGCTCAACACTATTCTTAGTAGCGATAAACAAAATCTTAGAAAACTTTCCAAAACTTGTCAAGGCGAGACTATACGCTGATGACTTGGTTATATATTCAAGAGGAAAAAATATTCTTTCTATACAAAAAAATTTACAATGTGCATTAAATCACCTTGAAAACTGGTCGAATGCTGTGGGATTGCAATTCTCTACAACCAAAACCAAATGTATTTTATTTTCAAAAAAACAGCACTCTACAAATCCAGATCTTCAGTTATATAAAAACAACTTAACTTATGTGGAACACTTAAAGTTTTTAGGAATGATCTTTGATAAGAAACTATCTTGGAAATACCATATTATGCAAATTAAGCAATCTTGTCAATCTGGTCTCAATTTAATGCGAACACTGTGCAATCGTAATTGGGGTTCAGATTTTAAAAGCTTGATCCATATTTATAAATCACTAATACGATCAAAACTCGATTATGGATCAGTTGTATACTCATCTGCAAAGAAGACACTTCTTGTTCAACTAGAAGTCATACAAAATACAGCACTAAGAATAGCTACAGGAGCATTCTGTACTAGCCCCATTAAAAGTCTGCAATCTTTAACCGGGGAACCACCTTTAAACTACAGAAGAATGTACTTGTCATTAACATACGCATCTTCTATATGTGCGATAAAATCGCATCCAACTTTCCATCACACTATCGCTGAACGTTTCAAGGAAACTTATATAAATAAAAAAAGAACGAACCCTCCCTTTTATGAGAGAATCAGAAGATATCTCTCTATCCATAACATTCAATTCCCAATTTTTTTTGATCAAACAAATACATTCACACCTCCCCCTTGGACCTTTCCTCCTGCAATATGTGATCTAACTCTTTCTAAATACAATAAGCTTGAGATCCCCCATGCAACAATTATTCAATCATTTTACAACATACTTGCTTCTTTCCCAGATTATTGTCATATCTATACAGATTCATCCAAAACTATTGATGGTGTGGGATCAGCAGTCATAGCTCCGAACATTGTATTACAGTTTAAATTATCTTCCACTTGCAGCGTTTACTCTGGAGAACTATACTCAATTCTGCAAGCCCTCATTCATATACGTCTTCAAAATATTCCAAAATCTGTCATAATTACCGACTCTCTTAGTTCATTACATACGATAGAACAGTTATATACAAGTAATCCTATATGTATTTTAATAAAAGAACAATTACATTTACTAAACAACTCGGAGAAGCAAGTACGCTTTATATGGGTTCCATCACACATTGGACTTCCAGGAAACGAAAAAGCAGATTTCCATGCCAGAGAAGCAATACACAGTGCCTCTTCAGTGTTAGTGAACTTAGTGTCCGTTTCTGACTTCAAATTGTTCCTTAAAGAAAAAGTGACAAATGAATGGGAAAACGAATGGAATCTTTCACGATCAACACTACACATAATGAAGCGCTCAACCGAATCCTGGTGCGAGACAAACTTAAATCGCCAGCTGTTTGTTAAACTAACCCGTTTACGTATAGGTCATAGCAGACTAACTCACAGCTACCTAATCTCCAAATCAAATCGTCCTATTTGTGACTTATGTAACTGCGACATTAATGTAACACATATCTTAATAGAGTGTCCTAAATATATTAGTGAAAGACAAAAACACTCAATACCTAACAATATAAAGGCAGTCTTAGGAGTACATTGTAAATTTACAAATTTGTTTAACTACTTGAAGGATATTGATGTTTTAAAAAAACTGTAACTGTCAATTATTTGTAAACTCTATTTACAAATTGTAAAATGTGAACTTATCTAATTATTGTAAACCTACTAATTAACTAAAATACTGTTTAGATTTAAGCACCTATGTAACAACTATAGTACAGCTAATAACCCAAAGTGGTTGATGCTGTTATCAATAAAAAAAAAAAAAAAAACGCTTCTTTGTCTTTTTATTTTTTCTTTTAAGTTTTCTTGAACAGAACTATGTCTGCCTTTCATTATTTTTATTGTTAGTATATTGCAAAATATAGATGGTGCTTTAGTTTAAATATTTTTAGTGTTCATGATTAGTACTATTTAAAACTTTTTTAGGTGGTAGTGGATCGAGTTCTTCCCACAGTTCTCCTGAAAACATATCAAATTTAAGTAATATACCACAAAATATTCCAACTATAGCTGTTCTGAGCCCCAATAATAGTCGCTCGCCAGATTTTCTACTAGCAGATTTGTCTCCACCGGATTCTAGCAAAAATAAGTCTTCGTGTAGTTATAAAAAAGAAACAGATGTTATTGATAAGGAAAAAAATGGAAAAATGGTTGTCATTTCAGAAGTCGGTCAAAAACGAGAAAAGGAAAACCTTGATCCTAAAAGACTCGGATCTGCGGTGAGTAGAAGTAGATTACATATATATATATATATATATATATATATATATATATATATATATATATATATATATATATATATATATTATGGTAGCATTATTAAAATTTTTAATTGATCATTTTAATAATGCTACCTAAAGTCAAAATTAAATCTTAACTATTGACATACTGTTGGAAATGCATCTTAGATCTTTTAGTTCTTCTTTACGTTATTGTGCTATATTTTTTACATAAATTTTTTAAATTAATTACTATTAAACTGGGAATAAGCCACAATTAAAGATAAAAATACGTTTATTGACGTTTCAATTTCCACTTCGGAAATCGTTCTCAAAATACAAACAGTAAATTAAACAAATTTTGTTTTTTGTTACATAGTGAAAAATTCTTCTAATAATTTAATTTTATCTGACTCATTTATATTGACAATTCAGACATACATTATGCATTTTAAAGTAGACGACTTTAAAATGATATTGCCAATATTGTTGAGTTGCGCTCCTGGGACGACTTTACTTATAAGATAGTTCATTCGATTACATGAAATCAACTTTAACTTGAGAATATCCGTCAGAAAAAAATCATAGCATGTAATTCGTCTTTAAAAAGACAAACACATGACATGATGACAGTAAAATTCTCCTGTTAGTGATTCCATAGTAAATTATGAGGGAAAACCAGGAAAAAAACCTCATAATACTATCCCGACATTGTAAGTATTTGTTCGTGAATTTAGTTTACCTTCAACAAACATCAAAATTCTGATTTTATATGTTACGTTATTTAAAAAACATAAATGATGTATCCTCTATATGTTACTGACTTACTAATACTGGTATTTTCTTATTAATAACTTCCTCTTTCAATATTGGTAACCAGATCCTACTACATTCTGCCGAGGAATTTGCGACACAATTGGCCTCATTTAGCATAATTAGAGCCGCTTCTTTGATTTTTCTTTTTTTACCATCCGTTTCTTTTAGGACTACATTTGAATTATTCCATTGAACCCTATGTTCATTATCCCATGCGTGTTTACAGATTTGAGATCTATCAAATTCTTTATTTTTAATATAAGATTGATGTTCACTTATTCTAACATTTAATGGCCTTGATGATTCACCTAAATAAAACTGATCGCATTCACAAGGTATTTTATAAATGCAATTCTTTGTCCTTTCTTGTTCATTGTTAGGTTTGGTTTTGGACAAAATAGATCTCAACGTGTTTGTTGTTTTGAATGTTGTTGAAATGTTGAATTTATTTCCTATCCTTTTAAGTTTTTCTGATAGTCCTTTTATGTACGGTATTGTTATTTTCCTCATATTATTCCTTGTGTATGCTGTAGGATCTCGTTCTAAGTTGTTCTGTTCTATTCGATCGATTGTTGAAAATTCCTTATTTATAAACGATAAAGGATAATCATTTTTTAATAAAACAGATGTTAACAAATGTTTCTCCTCCAAGAACGAATTTTCATTAGAACAAGTAATTTTGGCTCTATCGTATAAGGATTTAATTATTCCCTTTTTTACATTAATATTGTGATTTGATTTGAAATTTAAATATCTATTGGTGTGTGTTGGTTTTCTATACACCTGAGTCTCATAATCCAATATCAATCTTAATGTAAAAAAGGGAATAATTAAATCCTTATACGATAGAGCCAAAATTACTTGTTCTAATGAAAATTCGTTCTTGGAGGAGAAACATTTGTTAACATCTGTTTTATTAAAAAATGATTATCCTTTATCGTTTATAAATAAGGAATTTTCAACAATCGATCGAATAGAACAGAACAACTTAGAACGAGATCCTACAGCATACACAAGGAATAATATGAGGAAAATAACAATACCGTACATAAAAGGACTATCAGAAAAACTTAAAAGGATAGGAAATAAATTCAACATTTCAACAACATTCAAAACAACAAACACGTTGAGATCTATTTTGTCCAAAACCAAACCTAACAATGAACAAGAAAGGACAAAGAATTGCATTTATAAAATACCTTGTGAATGCGATCAGTTTTATTTAGGTGAATCATCAAGGCCATTAAATGTTAGAATAAGTGAACATCAATCTTATATTAAAAATAAAGAATTTGATAGATCTCAAATCTGTAAACACGCATGGGATAATGAACATAGGGTTCAATGGAATAATTCAAATGTAGTCCTAAAAGAAACGGATGGTAAAAAAAGAAAAATCAAAGAAGCGGCTCTAATTATGCTAAATGAGGCCAATTGTGTCGCAAATTCCTCGGCAGAATGTAGTAGGATCTGGTTACCAATATTGAAAGAGGAAGTTATTAATAAGAAAATACCAGTATTAGTAAGTCAGTAACATATAGAGGATACATCATTTATGTTTTTTAAATAACGTAACATATAAAATCAGAATTTTGATGTTTGTTGAAGGTAAACTAAATTCACGAACAAATACTTACAATGTCGGGATAGTATTATGAGGTTTTTTTCCTGGTTTTCCCTCATAATTTACTATGGAATCACTAACAGGAGAATTTTACTGTCATCATGTCATGTGTTTGTCTTTTTAAAGACGAATTACATGCTATGATTTTTTTCTGACGGATATTCTCAAGTTAAAGTTGATTTCATGTAATCGAATGAACTATCTTATAAGTAAAGTCGTCCCAGGAGCGCAACTCAACAATATTGGCAATATCATTTTAAAGTCGTCTACTTTAAAATGCATAATGTATGTCTGAATTGTCAATATAAATGAGTCAGATAAAATTAAATTATTAGAAGAATTTTTCACTATGTAACAAAAAACAAAATTTGTTTAATTTACTGTTTGTATTTTGAGAACGATTTCCGAAGTGGAAATTGAAACGTCAATAAACGTATTTTTATCTTTAATTGTGGCTTATTCCCAGTTTAATAGTAATTAATTTACAATGCCACAAGAAAATAGCTTCAGAACAATATAAATTTTTTATATACATGTACAACTACCACATGTTCTTTTGCTGTGCTAAGTTTATGAAAATTGTTAACTATATTTAGTTCAATTTATTGTTTATACAACATAATTTTATAATGTCCATTGTCGTAAGCTTCTTTACAATTTTAATATCATTGACTGCTACATATCTTTTTGAGGTAACACACTTAATAACTTTTCTTTGGATGTTAGGTTTTTCATATTGTTCTTTTTAGATGAACTGATGATGCTTTCTAATTAGAAAGCGAAACGTTTTCAATAAATAGATGAAGTAGCCATCATCTTTGTCTTTTTTTCTCCACCTTTTGACCGAAAAACCCGCGACTCGTCGAGTGATCCTTAATTTATATTGGATTGACGGTCGTACTCCTTTTTCCTCTCTCTCTCTCTATATATATATATATATATATATATATATATATATATATATATATATATATATATATATATATATATATATATATCATCTTTTCATATTTTTTTCCTGTGAAGAACACCACAAATCCCATAAAACCGTTGGTCACCAGCTCTAATCCAATGTAATATAGTAAAGAGTATATATTGTCTAGTCAGCGTATGTATAGTCATCTTCTTCTTATTGCGCCGTCTCCTTTCGAAGGTTGGGGATCCAAATAACAATTATAGCTTTGGAAACTGCTGCACGAAAGGGATAAGCGGTAAAACCATCCCTTCAGGTCTTTCAGCCATGAATTCTGGTGAAAGTCGTCCAACTGATCCCTGAACCCTGCACTCAACCTTTCAATATAATTCACACCGTTGGTAACTTTTTGTACCCATTCAGAGTCTGTTTCAGAGTCCATTGTCTAACTTTCTCAGCCATACAGCAAAACAGAGAAAACGGAACATCTGATCATTCGCATTTAAGGCTCAAGACTAAGGTCTGATCTTGTCAAAAATGTTTTCATGTTCATGAGTGTTTTTCCCCTGTGTTCGATTCTTGATAGGATTTTTTTTTTGAGTTACACTGGCTGTTGATATTTGCTTCCAAATATTTTATGGAAGTTACCTGTTCTATTATTTGTTACTTGTCATACAAATATACCTTTGTTGGTACCTTTGAAAATGGTAGAATTTTAGTTTTGGAATCGTTTAGATGTAAACCGAACATTTTACTATGACGAACTACCGCATTTATTATATTTTGTAGTTTTTGTGCGTTGCTTGCTATTAGGACGGTCATCAGCGTACTGATGTTGTCTATGCTGGTTCCGTTAATCTTTATTGCACATTGAACCTCGTCTAATGCTTTTCTGAATATAGATTCCGAATACAGATTAAATAATAGCGGTGATAAGACGCAATCTTGTCGCACTCCTCGTCGGATTCGTATATCTTCGAATGTTGTATGATCTATTTCAATTGTTGCCGTTTGGTGCCAATATAGTTCTGAGATAATTCGTAAGTCTTGTTCGTCAATTCCAGTTGTTCTCAGAATTTCGATCATCTTTTGATGGTTAACGCAGTCAAATGCTTTTCGATAATCAATAAAACATGCATATACATCTACATTCATGTCTCTGCATCGTTGTGTTAACACATTTAAGGCAAAAAGAGCTTCTCGTGTTCCCAATCCATTTCGAAATCCGAATTGAGTGTCACTCATCTGAAACTCACACTTCTTGTAAATTCGTGTATGAATGATTCTGAGAAAAGTTTTAAGACATGAGACATCATGCTTAATATTCGATAGTCATCGCAGTGTGAGGCATTGGATTTTTTGGTAATGTTACGAATGTTGATTTTAGCCAGTCTGATGGTATTTTACCTGTGTCATATATCTTATTGAATAGTGCTGTTATCAAGTCGAGGCTTTTACTTTCGTTGTATGCAATTAATGTAAGTATTTCGACATTCATATTGTATTGTATAGTCATTTGGATGTAGTAAGTGTCAGAGCGAGATAATAAGCTAAGTTGGATTTGTTTTAATAATATTGTAACAATGAGCCAACATTACTTAATAATTATGTATTTTCAATAAAAACTAGACAAAAATACAAAAGAGCACGAAAGATCTCGATAGGTCCTGGTACAGAAAGTGTGAATCCTGAAAATTATTACTATTATGCAGTTAAGAATCTTCATGTTGTAGAAGAATGATTATTACCAATTTTCCATGTTAAAAATTCATAGTGGTACACGCATACTTTTTTAAGTAAATAGTGGTATTTCAAATATATATATATAATATATATATATATATATATATATATATATAAAGAGATAGAAAGAGAGAGAGAGAGAGATAAATAATAATCTAGTGAAGCACTGAGTTCGTCGTCACCCTTCGATATGTTCTAGTATTTTAGGATTTTTCTATTGACAAATATAGATTTATACCAATTTTAGCATTTAAATAAACGGAGAGGTTCAGCACCTGTGATGCCTACAGTACCAAAACCCGATGAAAAAATTTCGCCTGCCAGCAGAGGGCTAGTGGTGTCTGACACAGACTCTTTAAGAAGAGGATCAGTGCCAATTGAAGTTGCTCAATATCGTAAGTAAACTTCATTCACAATTATAAGAACTGACTTATGCAGAATTTAAAAGTATCCCGCTGATAATGTCGAAGCCATAAAGAGATTTGCTTCTTCAGGTAAATAGTAAAAAGGGCCGGCTTAACGAATTATATATTTTATTTGTCATTTACATTACATATTTAATTTAAATAAATATCTAGATAATTAAGGGAAAAAATACATAAACTGATGGAGTATTAGAATTAATTAATTATTATATTTTCTGTGTCGATTCTTTATTAAATATATCCAAATTTTGAAAGTAGTAAACAATTTTTGTTTTGTTAAACAAATTGCAAGTAAAATAATAAAATAGTGAAGAAAATTAAAATGAATTAATGTATGTATATACATATAGCTGAATATGATTATATTTTATATTTCATGTAAGGGAAGAAGTTTTTCAATTGTTAGTAAGGTATAAAGTATGCCTGAAAAAGTTGGCAACAAATGGGAAATTTCTTTTCTTTTCTTCTGGACAAATAAAGAAATTTGCCATTTTTGCCAACTTTTTCAGACATGAAACGGAAAACTTAAACATAACAAGTCAACATGAATAAATATGAACCTTTTAAAACGAGTAAATCGATACTCATCGGAGGGACCACAGACGTTCGTATACAATTAGCGACTCTTTGTAAAGACAATGAAGTCGACTTTACTAAAGTAACAAGACATTTACTCAACACAAACACTAAACATTACTCTCCTGAGTTAGTGATAAGTTATAGTCTAAAAAAATCATTATGAAATTGACTGGCCAGTTAGTTGTGAAAACCAGTGCCAGTGTGAAAAACAAAACATTTTCTTCGTTGAGAAAATAATGATTAAAAACAATAATTATGGAAAATTTGTAGGTTTATAAAAAGAGTTTTTTGACATTATGCTTGAATGATTTGAGCTGATTATATGTACCTATATACAGTTGTGCTATGCTTGGCTATATGCCGGTCCTGGTATCTTGGGTAGCTGTGATAATTATACAACAATAGAGTATTTACAAGGGATTATTCAGTTTTACAGCGGTTATTAAAATAACTTTTATAATGAGACACTAAATTTCTGGATATAGTATACTTACAAATTTTTAGATGCAGAAATAAAAAATTAGTTTTGTTTTTTTTTACGTCACAAAAGTATTAATATAAATATAATAATAAAGTATTAATATAATATAAAAATGTTTACTTTTACGGCTAGGCACAAAAAGTGTAAAAGTCAAACTCTTTGTAAACCGCAGTAACTTGATAAGCAACAATCCTTCGGTTACAGTCATTGCAGTACACAGAAATATTTGGAGGAATACGTGATGCCGTGGGCTCTTCGAAATCAGACATAATACTCGTACTTTTGGTTTACGATAAGCACAAACGTTCACAAAACTTAACGAGTAGGGGAGAGGCGGGAACAGTGAAACAGGGAACAGTGACACATTTAAAATCCTAGTAGAAAATATGTTAGCAAGTTGGTGATATTGTGGAATTTTACAGTTGGTATAATAAGAATACTACTATTGTCTTATAAAAAGTTGACAGAATCTGTTGTGTTTGGAGAAAATCGCATGTTTGTGTTTTGTTAGTGCAGAAGTATTTTGTCAAGGGTGTTTTTAGTTGTTTACTACGAGGAAACAAACCTGAATTATTGGATTGTGTTCTGGGTCGTAAAAAAGTCGTATAAAATGTAAGTAATAGCAATAAAATTTCTTTAAAATCTTTGTAGATTAACAAAAAATTTACAAATTTTTGTATAAAACAGCATTGTGGGTACAGTGACACGAATATTGATAGGGAACAGTGACACGATGTGTCACTGTACCCTTCTTGTGAATTTCATAAAATCTTGACAGCAAATGAGTGCTGGAAAATCATATTAGGGTCTAAGAAGCTTTTGTTAATTATGAATTTACATTACAGATGGTACGTCAGAAGAAAACGGATAAGACAGTGGGTAGATTCAATGAAGATTCTATGAGGGAAGCAGTCAATCTAGTTATCAGTGGTATATCAATTCGTCAAGCTGCTAGAGAGAAAAACTTAAGCTTTAAAACCGTAAGCAGATACGTAAAGAAATACAGAGATGATCCCGAATGCCGAATGGCTCCTAACTATAAAATAAACCAAATATTTTCTTTGGAACTAGAGGAAGCTCTCGTTGATTATATCATAACGTGTTCAAAAATGTTTTACAGTTTAACAATTACCGATTGTCGCAAACTTTCATATGACTTAGCGAAAGCAAATAAATTAAAAATTCCAAAAAATTGGGAGGAGGAAAAAAAAGCTTCAGTCGACTGGTATAAAGGATTTCGCCATAGACATCGTACAATATCCTTAAGAACTCCAGAGGGATGTAGTCTAGCAAGAGCAGCAGGATTCAATAAAGAAAATGTAAACTTATTTTTTAATAAGTTGGAAATAGTTTTGCAGCGACATCCAAATTTTTCAAATGGATTCAGAATTTACAATTTAGACGAAACCGGAACTTTGACAGTTCAAAACAATTCGACAAAGGTGCTAGCCAAAAAAGGCACTAGACAAGTGTCTAAAATTCAAAGCAGTGAAAGAGGTACACTTGTTACCACATGCTGCATTGTAAGTGCAAATGGAAGTGCAATCCCACCCGTAATGGTATTTCCGAGAGTCCATTTTAAAAGCCATATGTTGGCAGGAGCGCCATGTGGGACGTTAGGCTTGGCTACGAAAGCAGGATGGATGAACACAGAATGTTTTATTGAAGTTTTAAAACATTTCATTAAACATACTTGTAGTTCAAAAGCTAACCCTTCACTATTAATCATGGACAACCATGAGAGCCATATATCTCTTGAAGCTATCATTCTGTGCAAAGATAATGGGGTCACTGTTTTGACTGTGCCTCCTCATTGCACCCATCGGTTGCAACCATTAGATGTGGGTCTGCTAAAACCGTTTCATATATTTTACAACGATGCTTTAAGTTCGTGGGAAAAAGCTAATCCGGGCACACCTGTGACAATCTACCATGTAGCATCATTTGTGGGACTCGCTTACCCCAGATCTATGACACCTGTAAATATATCGGCAGCTTTTAAAAAAACTGGAATATTTCCCTTTGACCGTCACGTATTTAATGATGATGATTATTTCGCAAGCCAAGTTACAGAACGACCATTAGTTAATTCACCAAATATTGATCCAAAACCATCTACCTCGACAGGAGGTACCACAGATAACTCTATCAAGAACCAGGACGTAACTCCATTACAGAAATTGTCACCTTCATCCACAAGTGGAAGAAAATTGACATTTGTAAGTCCATCAGCTATTCGTGAATATCCAAAAAAAAGTCTGACAATTTCGGTTAAAACTAGAAGAAAAAAAGGCAAGACTATGATTGCTACTGACACTCCAGAGAAAAACGAAATTGAAAGTAATAGAGCCAAAAAAGCGAAAACAGTTAAAAGAAGCATAATCTCAGAAGACATTAAAAACAATGATGATGTTATTGAGTCGGAAGACGAAGATGGTAAAACTTATAGTCTCCATAATTCTGACACGTCAGAGGGAAGTGAAATATTTTCAGATAGTGATGATGAAGACCTATGTGATTTGACATTAGATCCAGCCAAAATTTGCGACATTAAGATCAATGATTTCTTATTAGTGAGACTCAAATATGAAGCCCATTCCAATAAAGAAATCGAAAAATATTATATTGGGAAAGTTGTGGTGATAAACACCATTGGTACGATGGAAGTCAGTTTTTTACGTAAAAATTCAAAAAATGTCACATGCTTTGTGTTTCCATGTGTCACAGACATTGGTGTTATATTCAACAACCAGATTATAAAAATTTTGGACCATCCAAAAATTAGCAGGGGTCGACACTTTTTTCCTAATGTTAAAACGGACTTGATTTCATAGAAAACAACAAGCATTTATAATATTTTTCTATAGATCAATAATAAAGATACGTTTTTATTGTTTAATTAGTCCTAAATAATAATACTTACATATTACAGTTGAAAAATGTCTTTGTGTCAGTGTACCCTTCATACCAGGGAACACTGACACAATGCAAAGTTTCAGACTTTTTTTTAAATCTATTTGTTTTCTTAATTTATAGCAATGTAGTCATTCATGATGTATTTGCAACACAATAACACGTCCAAATTGATATTTGCAAGTAAAATCCTATTAATGGTCTAGCGATGACAGAAATTCAAATTTTTCTGTGTCACTGTACCCACCTCTCCCCTAGCGCAAAAATCTGTGATTTTTCTTGTTTGTCAAAGTGACAATCAATAGAAGTAACCATAGTAACATAAAAATTATTTGCCACGTTTGAAAAAAAAAATTTTTTTTGTGTGTTTTGGCTTGGACAATTGTCATTCAGCCAGTCTCAATCAAGATAAGTTTATTAATGTAGTGTGTGTGTGTGTGTTTGTGTGTGTAGAGTAATTGTCTTGATACTTAGCAAAGTCGACGTCATTGTCTTTGCTAAGAGACGCTAATTGTATCCGAACGTCTGCGGTCCCTCCGGTGAGTACCGATCACACAAGGATAGAAATTATTTTCATTTATTAATTTTTTTAATAAACGAAAATTTCCACCCAGGTGAGATTCGAACTCACGACCTTTAGGTTTAAAGGTAGGCGTTCTTACCACTGAGCCACAGAGGGGGTAAAAAAAAATAATAATATGTATTATTCGGAGTAAAAATGACTTTTTGTGCCTCAGCTTAATGTCTAACTCACTACGCTTGTCCGTCAAACGTACAGCCTCGCCACAAAAAGTATCATTTTTACTCGTTATAAAACAATATACTATAATTTCAATTATTTGTAACTAATTAGGTGACTTCAGAAACAACTCAACTTTTGTTTTGTTAGATCACATTCCTATTTTATAAAAAGTAGGTATATAGCGATATTGCCATGTTGTCATGCTTATTAAGTTAACTACTATAAGTTATTAAACTGAGATTTCATTTATTTACTTGTGCCATTTATCGGCATATTTTTTATAACTTAAAAACTGTATTCAATATTTTACAAAAAAATTCTTCTTTTCGTAGTTCTAGAACGCTCTGTGGATGTTAGCCTGTTTATTAATAATCTTTCTTTCTGACCTGTCAGCTATTTTTCTATGAGATTCTTCTTCTTCGTACACTTCTCTTGCCCTGGATTTTCCCTTGTATAATCAATTGAAGTAGGTTGTATCTCTCATTACGCATAACATGCCCAGGTATTGCAGCTTTCGTGTCTTGATGGTTTCTAATACTTCCATTCTTTTGTTGATTCTTCTCATGACTTCGTTGTTTGTTACATGCTCGGTCCATGATATCTTCAGGATTCTTCTATACAACCACATTTCAAATGCTTCCAACTTTTTAGTAGTCGACGCGTTAAGTTAACCTATAGTGCGTTGGCGAATTATCTTAAGGCCAGACGTCTGTCTTTTGCGGCATGCAAAAGATCGCCAGTGTTATTTATGCCTGTCCAGTTCTTTATGTTCCGTAGCCACGACATTTGTTTGCGACCTACTCTTCTCTTGCCTTCAATCTTTCCCTGGATGATTAGTTGAGAGATTGCGTATTTTTTTCCTCTCAGAATATGGCCGAGGTATCCAATTTTCGTACCTTGATCAAATTGAGTAGTTCTCTCTCAGTATTTGCCTTTCTTCAGACTTCCTCGTTTCTCAACCTAGCTGTCCATGGTATGCTGAACATTCTTCGCAACGTCCACATTTCGAAGAACTTATTAATGGAAGGTACTCTTAACGTCCATGTTTCCATGGCGTATAACAATATGGAAGATATATAGCATTTAACCATCCTGTAGCGGAGCTTGAAGGAAAGATTGCGGTTACATAGTAACGGTTTAAATTTGATATTATGCACGCGATCTATCTTTCAAATTTAAAGGCGTTTATTCTCAACTCTAAAGTTTTTTGCTCAAAATACTTTGTCATCGAGACGCCAAAAGCGTCCTCTCGGTGCGACGATTACGTGACTGTAAAATAGATGAAGCGCGCAGAACGGTTTCCGAACAGAACACCCATTTTGATAAAAGAATTTTATCATTTGCCGATTGAATTTAACAACAAATATGTATTAAAATGAAAAAAATTAAAAAGACAGCAAATATTTTATTTCACGCAAACAGCGCCTATGTATGTGTTGATACGTATTTCGACCTAATAGGTCTCATCAGAACAGTTAATCAGGTGTTCTCAACGTGAAAGATCAATATTTTCTGTCTTTTAAGAAGCAACACTAAAATGGCTTCGATATAGACGCAATAGCGACATCTGATAATAAATCCGTAAAATAGTTTCGAAACACAATTCAGATTTCTGCTTTAATCTGTGCTGCTTTCTAAAAAGTGCAAAGCAAAACAGACGTTGATGAAGGTGTTAAAAGAGACATGGGGAATCTAAAAGTTGCATTCCACGACATTGTCTCTTTTAACACCTTCATCAACGTCTGTTTTGCTTTGCAATTTTTAGAAAGCACAGATTAAAACAGAAATCTGAATTGTGGTTCGAAACTATTTTACGGAAATATGTATTAATTAACAAAGTTAACATCATTTAGCATCATTTAACATCATTTAAATGGTTTTTATCAACATATTTAGTGGTTTCCCTCATGTATACCTGGTAACTGCATTGATGATGGACTTATTAGTTCGAAAACGTTCTGTGATGTAACTCATAAGGCAATTTTAGAATATACATATATACCTTTTATAAAAGATTTTTTAAATAATAGTTTTAATTTTATAAACTCAAAATGTACCGGTATCAAACACGCCGCTCTCTTTTTTTTTAACTTTATTATTTAGTAGTTAAATGTGAAAAATCAATAATTATATATTTTATTTTAAGATATTATCGAAAAGAAAAACCTCCATCAGCTACAATTTCCAAGACGAGGTTCTGCTCCTACCAATATAATTTCCATATTTGGTGGAAATGGCGAGAAATTGGAGCAGCTCACCAGACATACCAGTCTAAATGGTAAGCTTACTTTTTACAGGCACATTAAGATTTTTCAGGAAACACAAAATACTTTTAACAAATCAATGATATGTAAGGATTTTAATTGTTTGTATAATCAAAAGATAACTTGTATTACGTGTATTAATAAGAAATTAAACATACGAAGAGACTTTCAATTTTTTATTATTAAAAAAAATTGGACTCATGTCATTGAGAATCCAAATAGACTATTTCAGACAAAAGACATATTTCAGCTAATGAATCTAGAATGTCAACATGAAACTTAATTTATTTATTCGTCAATTAAACACATTTTTAACCTTATATTAAATAATTGTCACTTCCTTTTATAACGTGATAAATGAAGTTATGCTGTTTCCTTTTTGATCCGCTCTTCCTAGGCCGATGTGATTTTAGGTTAGATTTTTCAAGATGTTTTAAAAAATATCTAGTTCATTTTTGCTTCCTAACCAATTAAATTTGTACAAATATTAATCTACTCATCGAAATTGAACTTGCTGAAACAATACATGCGGCAACCACTGTTTTACGAGCATCAATTTGGTTGCCCTTCCAGTTTATGAATGAAACCCCTTTAACTGGTGAATTCCGTAGCCAAGAAATGTCGAAGGAGAAGTTGCGAGTTTTTGAGCAGGCATACCATTTTACATAACGGAAAATGGGACACTAGATTGGCCACAGGCTATAGGCTGGATGGTTTAACTGGAGGCGAATGAGCGGGGTACTTTGTATCAAGCGAATGAAAGATATAGAAGAGTATGGTGAGACCTTCTGTGGTGTATGTAGAAATGAATTGCATACGTTATACACTTTTTATTTAACTGAACTATAATAAAATTAACATTTGAAACATTAAATAAAATGAAATGAAATGGACTGTATAATTTCGAACTGGCTTGTTCGATGGTCGCTAGCTAAGAGGGCGACTTGTTAAAGTTGACTCCGCATGGTCGGCCGGAACACCACGTTGCCACGTTGATTCAAGTTTTCACCATATTCCCCGCCTTGAACGGTTGGTTCAATAATACTGGTAGAGGACATATTTTAGTTACAGCTCTTTTTAAAGTTCCTTTCGACGTCTTCACTGTAACGACTCGTACTACGCCGTCTGGACCTGGGTGAACTTCACTGATTCGTCCTAAAATCCATTGACATGGAGGAACATTCTCATTTCTGATGGTCACCAATGTACCACATTCCAAATTGGGTACCTTTTGTTTGCCCTTATATCTGCTTTGAAGGCTGGAAAGGTAGGAAGTAGACCATTGCTTCCAAAAACTTTGCTGCAATTGTTGAAGCAGCTGAAATCTTGTTAACTGGTTCAGTTTTACCGTTTCACCAAAAGCTGGATCAGGAACAGCAGTATGTGATCTTCCAATCAAGAAGTGAGATGGGGTTAAGGGTGAAAAGTCATTAGGGTCTGAGGACATAGGGTAAAGGGGACGGGAATTTACCGTAGCCTCAATTTGTGTTAGTATCGTTACAAATTCTTCATACGTTAATAAAACATTTTTAATTGTCCTTAGTAAATGATGTTTTACACTTTTAATGTTAGATTCCCACAATCCTCCAAATGACGGAGAATTCGACGGAATAAAATGCCATTGAATATTTTTATTTGTGAAAAAGTTTGAAAATGTATCATAAGAGGTAGACAAAAACTTAAATAATATATTTAACTCATTTTTTGCACCTACAAAATTAGTCCCATTATCCGAATATATGTGAGATGGTTTACCTCTGCGAGCAACAAATCTTCGAAATGTTGCGATAAATGCTTCGGACGTAAGAGCAGTGACTAATTCTAAATGAACTGCCTTTGTACTGAAACAAATGAACAAACAGATGTATGCTTTATACGTTTTACAACCACGACCTTTGCGATCTTTAAGGACAAAGGGTCCTGCATAATCAACACCGGTGTGATCAAATGGAAATGAAATATTTACTCTAGATTGAGGTAAATCGGCCATGAATGGAGTAATTTGAGTTGGTTTAAATTTGTGACATGTTATGCAATTTCTAACAACAGATTTTACTGCATTCATGCCTCCTGTTGGCCAATATTGCTGCCTTATAGTATACAATAATAATTGTGGACCTGCATGAAATAAATTTAAATGTTCATCCTCAATTAGCAACTGAGTAAGCCGATGCTTACCATCTAATAAAAAAGGATGTTTGTGATTATACTCTAACCCAGAGTGGGTTAATCGACCACCTACTCGTAACAAATTATTACCATCAATAAATGGCGACAAAGCTAAGAGTTTGTGATTTCGTTTGACTTCTTTATTAGCTTTGATTAATTGTATTTCTTCCTGAAAACATTCATTTTGAGCTAATTTAATTAAACTTAATCGACCTTTTTCTAATTCATCTTGTGATAAAAAGGGGATGTACTGATTTTTGCGAGAGACATGATTGCTGGATGTTGCATCTGGTAGTTTTCTATTTTTGCTAGAATTAAGTAGGTTCCTTAAGTACCTTAAACAATAACTGTGGACTCGCAACAGTTTACGAAAAGTAGAAAATTTATTAAAAATAATAAATTGATCTGTTCTTGAAATTAAGGAGATTGGTTTTTGTTTGATTTCTGGAATAATAATAGAATCTGACTGTTTAAATGGTGGAGGAATAAAAGAGCAATCCAGTAAAAATATAGGACCATTCCACCAAAGACGTTGATTAAGTAACTCATGGGGATAAGAGCCTCTTGAAGCAATATCAGCTGGGTTATCCTTTGATGCAACATAATGCCATGAATGACTTTTTGAGAGACGCTGAATTTCACTAACTCTATTGCCTACAAACACTTGAAGATTACTTGGATCTGCGTGTAACCAATGTAACACAATTTGTGAATCACACCAATAAATTGGAAGTATAGAAACCCCTATTGCGTCTATAACTGATTTCATTAATTTTGCCAATAATACAGCTCCACATAATTCTAATCGTGGAATTGTAAGTAGTTTTATAGGAGACACCTTGGTTTTTGAACATAATAAACGAACTGTAATGTTTCCAGAATTATCGAAGCACCTGATATACACAACTGCGCTGTAAGCATTGAACGATGCATCGCTAAATCCGTGTATCTCGTATCGTTGATGCGATTCGGTTAAAATAAATCTGTTCAATTGAAATTGATTTATCAAATGTAATTTGGACTTGAATCGATTCCAGTCCTCTACTAATTCTGTGGGAATCTGATCATCCCAATTCAGTTTTTGTTTCCATAACTTTTGTAATAATATTTTGACCAAAATAATACATGGACTGATAAGTCCTAACGGATCATAAACCTTTGCAATCTCTGACAAGATCTGTCTTTTTGTATTTATTGTTTTTTGTTGTTCTGGAAGATTGTAACATAAAATATCGAGTTTAGGAATCCATTGTATTCCTAGTGTCTTTACAGGATCTGAATTTCCCAAGTTTAAGACGCTAAGTTCATCGGCATTGTTCTTTAAATGTTCTATAATGACAGGATCATTGGAAACCCATTTGCGTAAATTAAAACCACTTGACTGCAGTATATTAGAAATGTTTCTGCAGGTTTGTTTCGCAACATCACAATCATCAAAACCTGTAATCAAATCATCGACATAAAAATCCTCATGAATTAATTTGGATTCTAATGGAAAATTATCTTGACAATCATAAGAAATTTGTCTTAAACATCTCATTGCGAGATATGGAGCACTCGAGGTACCGTATGTCACGGTATTTAAGGTCATAATTGAAAGAGGATGATGTACATCTTCTCTCCAAAATATTTTTTGTAAATGTCTATCATCTGGATGGACATCAATACACCGATACATCTTTTCGATGTCTGAAATAACTACATATTTATGAAACCGAAACCTTAACAATATTGCAAAAATATCATTTTGAATAGCTGGTCCTGCGTACTGAATAGAATTAAGAGACTTACCAGTTGTTGTATTAGCAGAACCATTGAAAACAACCCTTAATCGTGTACTAAGGCTTTCATTGCGGAGCACCCCGTGATGAGGTAGAAAATATGAACAAATGTTGTCATCGAAATATGTGTCAATTGACATATGGTTAAGTGCCTGGTATTCTTGCATAAATGAAACATAAAGATTCTTTAATTGAAGATCTTTTTCAAATTGTCTTTCAAGATTTAGAAATCTCCTCACAGCTAAGTCTTTTGAATCTCCTAACTGTTCTCTACTTTCTTTTAATGGAATCTTGACAATAAATTTACCAGTTGAATCTTTAGAATATGTATTCTTGAAATGTTCTTCACATATGTTGTCCTCTTGAGAAATTAACTTTGTATTTGAAACTTCTTCTATTGACCAAAATTTTTCAAGATCCTTCTGTACTTGATCATTCTGTACAAAAAAACATTGGACCTTATCGACATTTTGTGACCACAACCCGGCAACTACATAACCAAAACATGTGTTTTGTAAGACAGGAAGATTTTTACCCAGAGAAATTTTTCCATTTCGAAGTATATCCCAGAATAAATCGGAACCAATAAGCATATCAACTGATTGTGATCTATGAAACGAAGGATCTGCCAAAGAAATGTTTTTAGGAATATTTAATTTAGAACCTTCAATGTTATAAATAGGTAAATTTTCTGTAATTTTAGGTAGGACAAAACATGTTAAATTGAAGATATCTGAATCATAAGTAGATCCAATAGAAACATTGCATTTATAACGTAGGGTGGAAGTGACACGATTGATCCCCACAATTGAAAGATTTGCATCTATTTGCTTTAGGTTAAGTTTTTTGCATAATTTTTCTGTTAGAAATGAAGTCTGGCTACCACTGTCAAGAACAGTTCTTACCTGATGAACTTGACCATTATCATCCCATATATTAATGATGGCAGTAGACAGTAAAACATATGTATTATTAGTTTTTGAGAAATTAGACACAGCTAGCTCTGTCGCGTTATTTGATTCATGACAATTGGTGCCATTATTTGTTACTTGTAATGACTGAGCTTGAGCTGGTCGCATATTTGAATTTGTAATGTGATTAATTGAATAAGTTCCTTGATCCTGATAATGATGCAACAGGGTATTATGTTTACCTTTACAAACTTTACAGGACCCATGACTGCAATCTTTACTAAAATGTCCCTTGCATAGGCAATTTGTGCATAATTTCATACCTTTAATCCTTGTCCATCTTTGAGAAACACTTAATTGTAAAAATTGAGGACAATAGTAAATAAGATGATCACTTTGACATAAATGACATATTTTCTTTGCATTAGAAAGATTATTTGACACTAAAGATACATGTTTTTTAAATGGTTTTCTCTGTTGAGAACTTTGTTGAACTTGAGAGTTGACATTTATTCCCCTCTCTTCAAGCTTTTCTAATTGATTTGCTTTGTTATCTAGAAATTTAAATAAATCATTGACTTCTGGTAAAGTATCTTTATCGTATTTTTGCTCCCATTCTTTTAAAGTAACTTTGTCTAATTTGTCTGAAATAATATGAATCAACATAGCACTAGATAATGGATTTTCATAAGACAAGTTTAAATTCTTTAAAACAAGCAAATGTTGATTAACTGTATCTACTAATTCTCTTACAGCACTAGCACTTTCTTGTGTGACTGATTTTAAATTAAATAACGATTTAATATGACTATTGACAAGCAAATGAGGATTGTCAAACCGTTTGCATAAAGCCTGCCATGCTAAAATATAATTTTGTTTAGAAAATTCTAAATGCTTAACAATTTGTTGCACTTCTGTGCCTAAAGAAGTTCGTAAGTAATGGAATTTTTGAATGTCATTCAATGAAGAGTTTTGATGAACTAATAACTCAAATGTTTCTTTAAATTCTATCCATTTGCAAAACTCTCCATTAAAGGAAGGAATTGTGACTGGAGGAAGCTTGACAAATTCTACTTTATTTTCAAATAACTCGCTGTGAGTTGTATTATTTGTTTCAGAACTAATTATTACATTTAATTTGGATACCAAACATAAAGCACTTGCTGTGTAAGTTGCATGGTCGTTTGTAAAGTTAATTCGTTCAGCATATTCATTTTCTAATTGATCATCATCACATTCTTGTTCAATGTCGGTTTGTAAATCATTAAACTCATCATATAATGAACCTAATTTTGCAGATCTTTGTTGTAAATCAAAAATGATTGTCTGTTCTATATGTTCACTATCATCGTATAGTTTTTGAATTTTGTTGAAAAATGAAATAAAACATGTCAATTGCTGTTTAATCGAACCTCGTTTACGTCTTAGTTTTTTAAGATCAGCCATTATGTAAAATAAATTGAAATAAAATCTACTGTGAGATTTCTAACATTAAATGCATAAATGAAAACATAAATTTCACACTTTCAAAGTAATAAAAAACTTGTTTTTACGTTAAAATGAACGTACATACATATATTGTAAAGCTTTTAATAAACACTTGCAATCATTAAATAAAAAAGCTTTAATAAAACAATGAAAAGAACCAAGTTTTTAAATTACTTATTAGTCCGTAATGAAAATAATAATTAATTTTTTGAATCCTGCATAAATATTTTAAAATCGGATATGTTAAACTAATCGGCAACGCTGTACAAATATACTTGATATGAACTGAGATTTTAACCGTATGGAAAACCGGTTAAACATTAAATTTCGGCTACCGGTAGGGTTTTAGATAGGTAAAGAAACACGTTTTGTAAATTTATGAGGTTAGGAAATTGAATAATGAAATAGGACTCACTTGTTTTTGCATCAAAATTATTGTAATCTTCTTTCCATCTGGATCGTACGGACCAAACTTTATGTAGAAATGAATTGCATACGTTACACACTTTTTATTTAACTGAACTACAATTAAATTAACATTTGAAACATTAAATAAAATGAAATGAAATGGACTGTATAATTTCGAAGTGGCTTGTTCGATGGTCGCTAGCTAAGAGGGCGACTTGTTAAAGTTGACTGCGTATGGTTGGCTGGAATACCATGTTGCCACGTTGATTTAAGTTTTCACCAGTGTATTTTGCTTTACTCGTACTTGACAATACTCTAGGGCATCCAAATGAACAAAAACTTGGATCAAGTGATGGGAATATCCAAACCAATTTCCTAACACCAAACTGCACAGCTTTATTGCAGCCGATGGATCAAATATTATCCAAAAAGTAAAGTTCTTGTATAAAACTATATTGCTCATCTATATGTATATATCTTTGATGATGATATATATGTATATAAATGTATATAAATTTTCAAACTTTCTTTATATGTATTTGACATTTTTAACATATTGATTCATAAAATAATTGATATTTATTTCACACAGGTAAAGCGGGAAGGCGAAAAAAATTAAAAAGACGAATCTCGGGTGGTCCGGAGACTTTTTGTCAAGCGGATACATTTTCTGAAGCAACATCCCGTCTTTTTTTACTTCGCAAACCTGAGGATACTGAAGCTCTGCTGGTTCAGCGAAGAGGATCACTGCCTGTTGAAGTCTTGAGTTTTGGGCACTCCGGTAAATAATTTATTTTTCTCTAATATTATCTCCTAATTTATTTTAATATATCAAAAGATCTAGAGAACCAGAAATGAAAGTCGTTTACTTTCAAGAAGCAATATTTTTCTGTTAAAATAAAATTTGTTTATTATTGGTTGAACATATCTTATCACAATTTACTATATCGGTTTGTCTTTTTGTTGATGTTAAAAGAAGCTTTTTGGTTGAAATTTATCTATTCAACTTCAACAAAATATATTCAGTACAATTTTTGCTGCAAGTGTAGTTAGAATTGTTGTTATTGTGGTTTAACTAATTTAATATGTAAAACAAATCATCTTAATCGTAAAACACAGCTACGAGCTATTGGTATGATACATGATGGTGTGAACATTCGTGACGTGGCAAAAGCTGTACCAAAAGTACTGTCTCACAGTTTTGGCAGTGTTTTCAAGAAACTGGTGATGTAAGGGAAATACACACTTGTCCAAGAGCAACACAACCGATACATGACAGATTTGTTCTCCTTCAGGCATTAGGGAACTCCAAACTAAGAAGTAAGCTTCAAAACATTTATGGCAATAATTCCAAAATGTCAGGAATAGGTTGCATGAGGGTCATCTCTAGGCGTCCCACTAGAGTTCCAGTAATATCCCGGGGAATTACACAACCAGATTAGAATGGACCGAAGAATATCAAATTTGGCAAGAACGAGAATGGGCAAACATTCTTTTCACCGATGAATCCAGGTTTGGTTTACGACCGTATTCACGAAGATCGAGGTTGTGGCGAACACCTGGCAATGCAACTCGCTTCCAAACCATTCAAGAAATTGACAGATATCAAGGAAGAACTTTGAATGTTTGGGTTGGAGTTTCAATAGGTTTTCCAATTGATTTTGTTCATATTGAAGGATTTTAACGTGTACAACAGCAAGGATTAGTATTCTAGACTAGAGAAGAGAAGCTGCTAAACTGTATACAAAAGCAATGGCAATAAATTGAGCAAGTTGATATTGATAATTTGATAAGCGGTTAGCAGATCGATGTCCACCTGTCATTATTAACAGAGGTGGTCATACACTCTTTGGTGGCGTACGACTATATACTTTTTAAATTTTAGTTGAGTTTTGTGTTTAATTATGTTTTTTAATTTTTTAAATCCTCTGTATATAACGACTGGTTGTTGTGTTATTCACAATTTATCGTTAAGCAGCGTTCAGATTTGTTTAATTTCAATATTTTCCAAATTAATTGTCAAATTACCATTTAGGTAAATATTCTTTGATTACTTTGTGCCCTAGACGATTTTGATGTATGTATATATAAAATATATATTTGCCCCTGTAAAAATACCACAACAGAACAAGAGAATATGTAAGCTAGATACAGGATAGAAAAAGTTTAAGGATTTAGAGCGCTTGTAGACATCCGTTTTTGTCAACAGAGAACGAACGTTCAATAAACAGAGATCATTGTATAATTGATCTTGGTTTCGGGTAATAATTATACAATCAATTTGTAGACAATCGATGAACGTTTGGTAACATCTGCACACATCAATAGTCTCGTTGACATTTCGTACAACAGGCCAATCCGAGGGTCAAAGGATGTGCATCTGTCGAAAATAGTTAATGCTACCGTACTGGTATCTGATGCTTCTACACATATTCATTACATTTATTTATTTATCGAATGGCATACATGGATAATATCTGAAAATCTGAAGTATATTATCAATATCTGAAGTATATTTGCAGTATAACTGCAAATATACTTCAATGCAGACTAATAAACAGCTTAATCAAGTAAAATATTGCATTGGAGACCACTGTTATTCACAATTATAGTTTTGTGTTGAGATTATTAATCCACTCCAGTGCCGCACTTGTGGCATGGAAGAAGTCGACCATATTACCACAGTACGCGATTAGGGTACGCCATAATTTGGCGAGGTTCTCCACACTCACAGGATTTATTCTAGTTCAATCCCGATTTGTATAGTAAGTCGCGGCGTAGCTCATGGGATGTTCTAATACGGTTTTCCACTCAAAACTAATTAATTCCATACCTGATAGGTAATAATTGAATTCATTAGTATGTGAGCTAAGGCATCTGCAGCATTTCTCTCTATTGTCTATTTGGCTTCAGTGCAATGTCTGTCGACGTCTATATAGGTAGCATATGTCACAGGACGGAACCATGGATTAGGAATACTTTTTATACATCCACTGATGATTCTCACGATTTGATTGAGTTTGGTGATGATCTTTTTTGCTTTCGCCTTCTATTATGTTATGGAGAGCGGCTAGTGCTAGGTCATCAACATTCATATTTCTTTGCCAACGTTGGAGTTATTTCAGATATATACCGATTGAAGAGGATTGGGGCAAGCACCAATTCTTGAGGGAGTCTATTTTATAATACCCGTACTCTGCTTTCATTACCACCAGTTATTATTTGGAATGATCTGTCGCACAGCATATTGTTTAAAATGATAACAATTTGGCAGCATGTTATAAGTAGTATAACTCGGCGTCTAATTTATGAAGAAGTTTATTTGCAATTTCAGGATCTATACTTTCTTATGTTTCTGGTAGAGTTGCTTTTACGATTCCATCCCGGTACTTTTTCCCTCCTAAACCCACGTGTAACATGTTTTTTAGTAGTTGCTATAATAACATTTGTAAAGCTGTGGTAATTAGAGCTGTTAGTTGCGATCCATCAGATAATTCTGTGCAGTTCATCAGTCAACTTGCCCAGTTAATCTAAGTCTAGAAGTATAATGGATAATTCAAATTATTTAACTTATCTAAAAGTTGGAATGGGGCGTTTATGTGCGTCCTCAGTAACAAAGAGTAAATCTGGATTAGTTTCGGTAATCCAAACTACTAATTTAAAGGACCTCACATCTTTGGAAACAAATATTAGACTTATTGTTTACCTCTTCCCAGATGTGTAGTTGTTCTCCATTATCACCAGTTTTTTTTTATTATTTCCACGCCTTATGGTGGCTATTGTAGTCACCAGCTAGTCTGCCTTTTTTTGAAACGATCTGTTGTAAACTCGTCGCACTGAAGCCAGTTGGTTTATTGAAAATATTTCATTCACTCATAATTGTCATTTCAGGATTCTGGAAATTTGTACCAGCTTGTATAGGTCTAGAGGATGAGTACCATTTGTTTTGGAGACTCGATAATCTCCAAAAAGTGTGTACCGCTTGCGATCTAATGCCTCGCAGTTATGCAAGATATGATTGACTGGTTTAAGGGTTTTGCTTTCGTCACCATGAACTGGTATGGCTCTAAGCTGATTCCTGCTTGTTTCCGCAGTACTTTAGCCCCATTAGCACATGCCTTTTTAATATACACGTGTTTGACCGGGTATGTTTTCCCAGTGAGAGTTATGTTACCTTCGGATACAGGCTTCTTCCCGGTCGGGAACTATAGATGTTATGAAGGTTTTAAAGGTCAAATAATTAGTTGGACAGTTTCAAGAAACTAGTTTTAATTATAAACAGCAGAAATAAGATTATTGGTTATTTAAATAATAAAACAGTTTAAATAAGATGCTTAAATTGGGATCCCTTCAGTTCTTGGCAATAATACGTCAACCCTTGCTTGAGTTGTAGAATAAAGCTCTAGAATAAACTTATATGGATTGTGGACGTCTTACATGTGAATTGTCTTGCGCATCTCTTAGCATGTTTACCTGTAATGTTGGCTTATTATAGTCGCCTCGTATTTAGGTGAGACTGTGTAAAAATATATTTATTAATAAAAGCAGGCAATAACAATTAAAATAAAAGTACTCTACCAGGAGTAGTTATTAACTGCAAACTTATCAATGACTGGAATGTATAATAATACAAAGTTTTAATATTCTCATCGATATTTACATTCAGATGTGCCT